TGAGTGTTCTTGGAGTCTTTATCGAAAATCAGTTGGCTGTAGATACATTAATTTCTGGGTTCTCTATTCTGTTCCACTGGTCTATGTGTCTGTTTTTATGCCAGTACCACACTTTTTTTGTTGCTACAGATTTGTAGTATATTTTGAAGTCTGGTAGTGTGTTACCTCCAACAAAATAATTTTTAATAACATACATCTCAGGATTTTCATAAAGGAAATTAAGATCAAAATGCAAGAACAATACAGTGATTTCTGTTCTTAAAATTTAAAGAACAGAAATTTAAATTCTAATCACTTATCTTTTTAAAATTAGCATATCCTGCTCGTAACTTTTCATAAAAAGTGTATCTATAGGGAAAATTAACATGTTTTATGGACTTACAGGGTATAAATTTCCACAGGGGAAGAAGCTACATGCCATGTTTCCAGGCACCTATAATTCACCAACAGACTAATTAGGGGATCTAAATGCTCATCTAAAGCATAAAACCCATAAAAAACAAATATAAATATATTTTAAATCTACTCTTTATCTAGAGAAGGCAAGTTTTGAAATGTACTACGAATGCAAAGTAATTAAATACAGTTCTCTTACTTATGAAAGGGAGCTAACACTAGAACCTATTTCACAGGATTATTGCGAGAAATAAGTAAGATTATGCATTTAATTGTTTTTCAGAGTACCTGGCAAAGAGTAGCAAACAATAAATGTCCACTTTATTTTTATTTTATACTATAAAGTAGTGAGACTTAATCCCTAAGCCTTAATTTGAATTCTGACTCTAAGACACAGCCACTTCTAATTTCACTTTGGTTACATGGGATGTTTTACAAAAGTTTACACTCCAGTAAAACAGTTAATGTTTTAAACTGTACTTTCTCTCCTACAGTGATTTCTTACTAACTTTTGGGATTTCTTCAAAGCTCAAATACTGTTCTCCTACATAACAACAGAGGTAAAAATTTTCTACCACTCGGATATCATCTTACCAGAATGTTTATCCTTTGCTTTCTAGCAAATTCTTAACCATGAGCTATGTTAACTGTTGCCCTGTAGTCTGACTTTTTAAAATGAATTTCTGTCTGGTATCCCCATTGTATTTCTAAGTCCTTTGAGGTCACAGAACCACATATTATGTACAACTTTATTTTCCCACGATATCCTCGTAGTAAGGCAGTCAATAAATAGGATGTGGTTACATGCACAACTTCATTTCAAAGCTTAAAAATGGGGAACTTGCATTGAGGGCAATTCAATGAAATTATTTATAATTTCTAAAAAATAAACTTTGGCAAAAGAAAATACAAAAGGCAATTTCTTTAAGACTTGTGAATAAACATATATCCCATTTGTAGTTCACTACAGAAAATCTAAAATAATAACAGAAGACACTACTGAGGGAATATATCAATGTAGTTAGCTCTGGGCATCATAAAAGTTACAACAGAATCTAACATAGAATTTTTAGGCCAGGCATGGTAGCTCATGCCTGTAATCTTAGCCCTTTGGGAGGCTAAGGTGGGAGGATCGCTTTAGTCCAGGAATTCAAAACCAGCCTGGCAACATGGTGAGATCCCGTCTCTACAAAAAATATAAAAATTAGCCAGAAGTGGTAGCACATACCTATAGTCCCAAATATTTGGGAGGCTTAAGCCCAGGAGGTTGAGGTTGCAGTGAGTCGAAATGGAACCACTGCACTCCAGCCTGGGCACAGAATGGGACCCTGCTTCAAAAATAAATAAATAAATAAAATAAAAGAGAATGTTTTAAAATAGCAATTTCTATAATTAGCAATTTCTAATAGTTAGCAATCTTACTCGTGATTTCTGTGGCGATAATTACTGGAGGGGGAAAGCATGAATGAAAAATCTACCTGGTAGTTTCTTTTTAGGAATATTAGGGAAATACATATAAACTTAAGTTCATATAGTACTCCAGGTGGAGGAAGTTGTTTTAAAAAATCAGTAGGCACTGGGTATCAGATAGCCCATGAAAAGAGAACCAACAAAACGTAAAAAGCAAAAGCTCTACATCAGCAAAACATCAAGTTTGAAAACTCCACACACATCAACCAGTCAGGAAGTTGTGAGATAAGGTTGTGTGTACTGCTTACTCTTAAAGGGTCTCCACTTACATCCCTCAAAGTTGGTTTTATCTCTGCCTCTTGTACAGGGACACTATGAAAGAACCTTTCATTATGTGATCACAGCGAAGGAGGAAAGTCAGACATGCCCCTGAGTGAACATATTTTCCTCCTGGAGAAACTGGTGAGAGCACACTGCTTCACATGAAGTGCTCTAGGGAATCAATTATTTGAGAAAAAGTTCAGTAGCAAATCATCTTACTGTCCTGATGCTTATGAAAATTTACCTGGATATGGGAAATACAGAAAATTAAATTTAAAGAAAAATTAAATGAGCAGCTCAAAACAAAGGCAGCAGTGTGCCATGTCAGAACACAGGCTGGCAAGGAGAAGAACTGGGTTCCTGTCCCAGAGCTGCCACAAACTAGCTTTGCAATCTTGGGCAAACCAGGTGACATCCAGGGTTCAGCTTCCTCTTGTCCAAGAAAGCTGGATAATATCATCTGTATGATCTTTCTAGCTCTAATGGTTTGTGAATACAACACTGAAAACTCAGAATTATAAATAAGCCCCATTTCTTCTCCCCACACAGCAACAAAAAACCCCAAATTATAATCTCCCTACCTGTTATAAACTATATTCCTATATGGGGGATTTAAGAGGCCACCCGTTTAAACAAGGAGCTGTAAAAAGAGGATGATCTTAAAAGGACTGTCACCTACATTCAAGTCATCAAATTTCAAAATAGAATAGAATTGTATTTTAGACTGTACGGAATGGCTTTCTTCATCCATTGAGAGAAAAGTAGATCACAGTTATTACTTTGAAGAATAAGAAATGTAAGTTCCACATTCTCCCCTGTAGCTAGGGTTGCATTCTGCCTGCAAGTCACTTCACTGCCTCCGTGTATTCAGGTCTGTGGCAGTCACATTTACCTAAGATCCGACTCTTAAACTCATAGTTTTGCCACTAGGCACAGCATATCTAGTTTTGCCAGGGCAACTATGCCCTTGGAAGGGTATACTTCAGGTGTGGTGCAGCCATTCCAATGTAAATGACGTTCTTCTCTGTCATTTGTATTTTTAACTCTTAAAGGTTTTAAACACACGTGAGTATATTTAATTATTATTAATTTAAAGGAAGTTCATGGGGCAAAATGTTATGTTTAAAAGCAGAAATCCTCCAGTAATGTAAGTAACACTAATTTCTTGATGACTTTGGATTTTTATTGACTCCTAAACTGAGACATTTCTTTAGTTAAAGTCAGCAATATGAAGAATCAAGTTTTTCACAGAGGGCGGGGTTTCACTGTTAGAATACTGCTATTACATATAAATTTCATCGCTCATTCAGTCATCAGTTTCTTCTCACACCTATGTATGTGAAGTTACCATGTGAATGGCAACATGGAAAAATGACTGGACCTCATTAGAATGGAAACTAATGTTTTACAGAAAAACAGTCAGGACCTTATTTTTTATTCAAGCAGTCACTGGAAGAATTCTTTGGTTTATAAGAACCTGTCTTTTTGTGATAATTATTGTTTCGGTTTGTTTTTCTTTTACAAACATCTCTTTTATTTTACATTAATTCCCAATTTTATCACGGTTGTCACACATAAATTAAATACGTAAGATTTGGGTGCTATGTAAAAGGTGTCAAGGCAAAACAACGTTCATAGGAAGCTTTCAAGTCTTTCTCAGTTACAGTAAAAGCAAAATACATTTCCCTTAATTTGTTTTTTAAACAGTACCCAACAAACTCAAAAAACTAAATGTTTTAACTTGTCCTTGGAAAGAGAAGTTGGGAAATCAAAGGCCTCTAGCACATGTTTACTTCTTAGCAAGACAGTGAACATCACTGAAGTAATCATTAATCATAGCTGGATTCCTCAGCAAAGATGTTGGCATTGGCACTATAGCCAGTCACCAGCAATGACTGCAAGTAACTCTAGGACACTAACGCCTATTTGATTTGGAAAAGAATAAGGAACATAATGATGCCTGAAGTGTCTTGTGAGCCTTTGCCTTTCTTCATCTCAGGGCCTTGCAACATCACAAGCCCAGCTGTTAACCAGATGCATGCAACATAAGCCACAGAGTGTGAGAAAAAAAAGCATTAGCATTATTTCCACGGAACTAGTCATGTGGTTATTATAGAAATAATCAGCATTAGCATACTACAATATTTGTTTTGTTCTTGAATTGTAACACCCTAGGGACAAAGTTGTCTTTATTTTTAAAAAGTTAAAAATGAAAGTACATGTTATATATCTTTGCTGAAAAATGGTGGGAAATGGATTTGTCAAAACCATATGGAAAGGAAGAGGGAATCAATTAAAAACAGAAATCTAATAAATCTAAAATATTTCCAAATGAAATGCTTGTGGTAAGCTAATTTCTTGTAAACACAGAACTCAAGTCACTTGAACAGTCCCAGATGGTGAACTAACTTTGTGGTCTTAAAACAAAAGTCAGCCAAAAAAACCAAGACTACAACTTTACTATCAATGCAGTGGGAAACATGAGATCCATAATCAACCAACATGTTACTTTTTTTCTTTCCAAAATTTGAAGAGATTTGCAGAGTTTTACTAAACACACAATTTTAAGCTAAAGTTTAAGTCTGTGTATGTAAAACGGAGAAATAAAAATTAGAGATAATACTACAGTTAAAAGTGAGGTAAAATCTACAGTTATTTATACACCTTAGAAAAATATTTCCAAAAATGCCACAGTTTTGAAATGTATTATAAAGTCTAACATTCTAAATTACCATGAACTTTCTTCAGTTGACATCTGTATGATTTTATTCAAGAAAAATTTTAAACCTTTTTTAAACTTGGGTTATAAAAAAAAGCTTGTGATTTATGGGTTGACCAGAAATTATACATGGTGGGATAAACATCTGCCTTACCTGCTCCACTGTCAATAATCCATCAGAAGATTCTGGCACAGGCTGCATGGGCAGAAGTTGGCACAACGTGCCTAAAAGTAAAGCAACTTCCTTCATACTTCTCCAACAACATACCAGCACCATCTGCGCGGTTACATCACATGTTTTTACTTCTTTACCTTAAACAAAAAAAAACACAACTATTGCAACCTTGATTACTCACATCCCAGGTTTCTAAAAACAAGCTTATGCATAATTTCCCCACGAATAATCTGGTTGAACAAACCCAATTTGTCATGCTATATTTATTCAGAAGGAAAAAAGCTAACATTTGTCAAGCATGTGTTATGAGAAGAAATCATGCTAAGTTTTTTTTTTCTTTTTTGGAGACAGGATCTCGCTCTGTCACCCAGGCTGGGGTGCAGTAGCATGCTCACGGCTCACTGCAGCCATGACCTCCCAGGCTCAAGCAATCCTTCCACTTCAGCCTCCCGCATACAGGTATGCGCCACCACACCCAGTTAATTTTAGCATATTTTTGTAAAGACAGGGTTTCACCACATCACCTCCTGGACTACAGCGATTCTCTCGCCTGGGCCTCCCAAAGTGCTGGGATTATAGACATGAGCCACTATGCCAGGTCCAGTATTTTAATTTATTATTTTCAAATTAAATTTTAAAATAAAACACAATATTGTTCCAAAACTTAAGTTTAATCTTTAATTTCCAAAGATTAAACAAACTCTGCCTCTCTGTCATAAAGTATGATATGGATGTCTATAATAAATATACTCCTTATTTATTTTGGTGAGGATGTCTGTTGCATTAGTAAAGGAGCAGAGTATAACTTTTAAAATCAAAGGGAAATACAAATTATCTTTCAAAATATATTTAATTCCCGTGGCCAATAAGCTATAATTACCCTTACTTACTCTCTTATTCTAGTTTTAGGAGTATTTTGGTACTGACATTTTTTTAAAATCCAAGATGAACTATTATATTAAGTAAAAGAAAACACTAACAAAAAGGTACTTACAGGGTAATCTCATTTGTGTTTTTATTTAAAAAGCCCAATGCATTAAATGGGTAAGTGTACATACACATAAATATATAGAATAAGTATAAAATGATATATTGCACTAAAGAGGGAAGACATGGAATTGGAGAGGAAACCTAGGAGGAATTTAATTTGTTTTTAATTAGTATTTACCTCTGTTGTTTGAAACTATTACAATAGGCTATAATTACATTTATATGTTATTTTGTGTAATTTAAAAATTTAAGTGTGGAGATAATTTTTTGCAAGACAATATCCCCACCTAGTGGAGAATGTAGAATATGTAATACATCACTAAGAAATTGCTGCTTCTGATGACGTTTTACAGCACTACAGAAAATTTAGTAACAACTAATGATCAAACAAGATGTAAGAACTCGAATTCTGGAGGCTTGATACAACAAAGCAGCTCCCATTTTACTAATAAGGTTTGTTTCCTTTAAAAGCCTGCTTGACTTGAAGAACTCCCACAGCAAACTCCCAGATGAACCACATTGCTGGGAGAAGTTGACTGCTACCCAAACCCAGGTACATCATAGCACTGCTCTTACATCACCTGGGCTGTCAAGGCAGGTTTCACCACTCCAAGGCTTTTTGTTCTAACAGCTTGTACACTGCACAACAGCACCTAATAGTCTGGTAAAAGTCTTATAAATGCATTCCTAAACCCAAATCTTTCCCAAAACCAAATTTTTAAAAAACTTTATTTTCTAGAAATGTTCTGCACAGATTTGCAACCTCTAATTTACTATATAAAAAGGGCATTCTGTACATTTTACTTGTTACACATGAATTACAGTATCCATTTCATACAAGTTACCTTTGATTTCTGTAGAAATATCAATATTCACCACACTGGCATTCAAGTCCTTCATATCAAAGCTATCATGTTCTTTCAATATTTTGGCTTGGTTAAAATAATCATTAGTATCTCGAGGCTGAATCTCATTCAGAATCATCTGTAAGCGGCTTGCTGACTCTGAGGGAAAGAAATTAGTGTACATGAAACCCCAGTAACACATCACATGTCAGATTTCCCTTGGGGATACTTAACCTCAAAAAATCTGTAATTTTCAATACTTAATAATCAGCTCTATTAGAAGGGACTCACAGGGTGGATAATATGAAAATTATTTATAGAGTTTTCATGATGCTTGAGTGTACTTTTAAAATATGGCAATTTAGACTGAAATGTAACAACAAAAAAAACTAACTGAAACTGTCCACAGGACAAAGGCTGCCATGTCATCTACACTGCTTTTCTTAGTGTTGTCTAAATATCTCAAATATGGTGCTAATCATGTCAAAGAAGTGCAATAAACTTCAATAAATTTAGTTTTAAGATGCTATTTCTCTATGAAGGAAAAATGAAGCAGGCAACAGAAAAGTAGAACAAAATCAGTATTTGATTTAAAATATAAATAAATAACAAAAAATAGAAGAGGTTATCTCCCTATCTATAATATAAGGTATCAAAGTTTAAAGATAGAAAGGTAAAAAGACATTTTTAAAAACCCATCAACAACAAAAACAATCTTTTATAGGACAAGAATATCATAAAGACTCCACAACTTTGAAACACATTATGTAATATGATTTAATTATGATTTATAGTCTTCATATTACATTAAGTTTCATTTTTATTCCCTAAGCACTCACTGGATTAGGAAATGTAAGCTCCATGAATGCAACACTTTGTTCATTACTGAGTGACCAGTGCCTATAACAGAAACTGGCTCATGGCAGAGGTTCAGGAACATGAGTTGAAGGAATGAATGGATGGCTAGGTAGTAAGGAGTTAGGCTCAGATTTTCAAAACTAGCCACGGGAAATCATCTGAAATCAATTAACAAATCAAAGAACCGGTATTTATTGTACATCTATTATATTTACATCTATTATTTAGGTACTATGGGAAATACAAACACTCAAATTACTATCATGATGATTAATTCAACATCTTATGTTCCTTCCTGGAACAGCCAAGAAAAACAAACAATGACCCCCAAAGAAACCCCCCAAAGACCAAGAAAAGATGAGAATAAATTTGTAAGAATCCCATCCATTCAATTTTACAGCTTTCAGGGGAGACTTTTCTCAAGAAATTCAGAATGTATGGCAGATGACACAGGGAAGAAGAAGCAAAAATGAAGACAACCAGAGGTAAAAAGGCAGGGAGAATGAAGGAAAAGTCTGTGGGGCAAAGACAATTTTTGAAACCAACTGATACCTTAAAACTCTTCACTAATAAAGATAATGTTAGCATTCTCTGTAGGATCTACCCACAGTAGGTAACAGAAATATTCAAGATTTCTCATCCAGAATATATGATGGGTACTTTGCTGACCCAAATATTAGCTATAAGACTCCATGTTCCTTATTCTTATGCACTGCTCAAGTAGAAAATCTAAAGCATCAAAATTTGGTATTTAAGGCCGGCACAGTGGCTCAGTCCTGTAATCCCAATGCTTTGAGAGGCCAAGGCAGAAGGATTGCTTGAGGTCAGGAGTTCAAGAGCAGCCTGCACAACACAGGAAGATCCCATCTCTACCAAAAAAATAATAATAATAATAAAATAATGTGGTATTTAGACTAACATCAGGCTAAATAAATGTGTCTTACTATCATGAACCATTACCAATCTTCTAACTCATTTTTAGGAAAGAACAAAGCCTAATATTCTCTATGCAAAACACATAACTCCACATTACCTCAATTATCAGCCCAAGGTATTTCAGTGTTATGATACAGTGCGTGTTTATGACACACTCAGGTTTTCTAATACAAGTCTCTCATTTCCACTCTAAAATACATTTACAAACTTTATTTCAACACAAAATATAAATATATTTCATGATTTTTCTGTGTATTAAAAGGAATACTCCATTTTAGTATAGGTTAAGTATCCCTTATCTGAAATGCTTAGTACCAAAAACGTCCCGAATTTATTTTTTTGAATATTGGAATATATGCATTGTACTTAATGGCTGAGCAGCCCTAATCCGAAAATCCAAAATTCAGATGCTCCAATAAGTATTTCTTTTGAGCATCCTATTGGTGTTCAAAAAGTTTCAAATTCTGGAGCATTTCATATCTCCAATTTTCAGATTTGGGATGCTCAACTTATATAGTATTACATAACTCAATTACCCTGGGGTAGGAGGTATCTTGCTCATTCCCTGGTTTGGGATTTTTTTTTTTTTTTTTTTGCTACTTTTTAATAGTTAAAACTATTGCTAAAAGGCAGAAATGCCACAAATAATAATAATTCTTTTCTCCTCAATTTAGCTTTATATCTCCCCAAAGAAATACTTAGGAAAAAAGAGGGAAAGACATAATAATCAAACCACAGCACTCTAGCCTGCCTTCTTCATTTGCTAACCCGAATCAGTGTCCATTGGTATGAGGCCTTCAGGGGATGAGCTCTGAATGACTGGAGATACCACAGTGGAAAGCCTGTAGGACATCAAAAGGAGCTTCTCTACCACAGGTCTCCACTCGCTCACCAACTGCAGGCTGCTGCAACAAGAACATTAGGGAAATTTATACTAAAAGCAAAAATCACATTTTAAAAATGAAAATTAGATAAAAGGAGTTGAATTTGTGTTTCAAAACTGTTCAATATATAAAATATGTGAGACATAAAAATACACGCAGATATGTATGTTTTTAAATCTGATTTTCAATTTTATTCAAAGCAATAGACTGCATGCCTTTCCCAGGATACATTCCAACAAGAGGTTAAAGCTCAGAAATGAATGGATTTCTGAGACAGGAAGGTAGCTATGGAAATCCTTACTTTAGAGATAACTTCTGCAAAGCTCCTGTTATACAGTGGACACGCCCATACATTGGAAATGATGCTGCTGCCTGAAGCAGAGAATTTTCAGCCTGATACACTTCTTCCTCAAGATTTTCCATCAAGCATTTGATAACTAGAAAAAGCAAACAAAATCAAAGTAATGTCAATTTTAAAACATTTGTAAATATACAAATAGCAGAACAGTTCCCATTAATATGCCCAACTCAAATGAACTTTACACTAGAGTTTTTTTAATCAAAAAGAGATCTTTCAAGGTTATCCAACAGGGTTGCTCATTTCTAGTTAAGGCAGAACTCAGTGTCTTTCCCTAAACTGCCTGTATCCATTACAGCATTCACTCTTAGTCCTTCCTCCTAAACATCCTCTCACTAGGATATCAAACCCAAGGCTGATGTGGTATCTGCTCATTGGACAGCAGATGGCTTTCAAATTAAAAAAGAAAAAAAAAGAACAGTTTTTTTGAAAAGTAATTCATATACCACAAAATTCACACATTTGAAGTATACAATAGTTTTTACTAGTCACATATGTACAACCATCACCATAATTAATTTTAGAACATTTTCACTGCCCTCCTGCCACCAAACCAAAAAAAAAGAAACTTACCCGTTAGCAGTCACTGCTCTCCTTGCACCTCTACCCTTCTCCAGCCCTAGAGGATCATATTTTGCATGATTCCATTTATATGATCCGTCCAGAGCAGGCAAATCTATAGACAGAAAATAAACTAGGCAACTACTAGTTTATTTTCTGTCTATAGATTTGCCTACTCTGGACGGATCACATAAATGGAATCACACAATATGTCATCTTTTGGAACTGGCTTCTTTCACTCAGCAAAATGTTTGCAAAGTTCATCCATGCTGCAGCATGTATCAATACTTCATTCCCTCCTATAGATGAGTAATAGTTCACTGTATAGCCATACCACATGGACATACTACATTTTATTTATCCAATTATCTGTTGATACACATGGATTGTTCCCACTTTTTGGCTACTATGAATAATGTTGCTATAAACATTCTTGTACAAGTTTTTGTTTAGATGTATGTTTTCATTTCTCTTAGGTATATGCTTGTCGTGGACTACATGTTTGTGCTCCCTCCCCCACCCCAATATTGGTATGCTGAAGCCCTAATCCCCAACGTGATAATCGAAGACGGAGACCTTGGAAGGTAATCAGGTTTAGATAAAGTCATGAGATTAGGACCCTCATAATGGGATTAGTGTCCTTATAAGAACAAAGACCAGAGCTTGCTCTCTCTTCCTGCCATGTGAGCACACAGCAACATGGCCATCTGAGAGTCAAAAAGAGGCCCCTTATCAGGAACTGGAAACTTGATCTTGGAATTCTCTGCCTCTAAAATTATGAGAATAATGGTCTCTGTTTAAGCCACTTAGTCTATGGTATTTTGTTATAGCAGCTCGAGCTAAGAGTAGAACTGCAGGGTCACATGGTAACTCTAGCCTTTTGAGGAACGGTCAGACTATTTTCCAAAGCAGATACAGCATTTTAAAATCCCACCAACAGTCTATGCGGGTTCCACTTTCTCCACATCCTCATCAACACTTGTCATCATCTATTTTTTAAATTATAGTCATCCTATGGGCTGTGAAGTGCTTCCTCACTGTGATTTTGACTTGCATTTCTACAAAGGCTTTTGATGCTGAGCACTTTTTCATGTGCTTATTGTTCATGTGTATACCTTTTTTGGAAAAATATCTATTCAGATTCTTTGCCCATTTTTAAAATTTGGTTATGTCCTTTCATTAGTGAGTTGTAAAAGTTCTTTATATATACTAGACAAAAGTCCCTTATCAGACGTAGGATTTGCAAATATCCCATTTTTCAGACTTTTTCAATGTCTTAATGGCATCATTTCACATACAAGTTTTAAATTTTGACGAAGTCCAATTTATTTTTTGTTTCCTTTTGTGGCTTATACTTTGGAAGTCATGACTAACCACTGGTTAATTCAAGATCACAATGATTGACATCCATGTGTTCTTCTAAGAGTTTTATAGTTTTAGCTCTTCTATTACGTCTTTGATTTCTTGTGAGCTAATTTTTGTACATGGCGTAAGGTAGTGAATCTAATTTCATTCTCTTGCATGTACATGTCCAGTTATACCAGTATAACAGACGTCTCCCCTAATGCCTTGGAAGGAGAAGGTTATATTCCAAATATTAGATTTGTGTAAAAACAGCAAATCATTATCATTCAGAATGTATTAAAAACTCCTAAAAATCAATAAGAAAAAGACAATCCTACAGAAAAACTGGACAAAGGACATCAAAAAGGCATTGCATTGAGGGGGAAAAGTAAATGGCTTATAAACATGGGAAAAAGTAATTATATTAGTAATCAGAAAAATGTAAGATGAAACCACAATTAAATAGTATTTTATATTACACAAAATTTTAAAATCTGACAACAGCAAATTATGGTGATGATGTGATGCAATACAAGTCTCAGAATTTGCTGGTGAAAGTGTAATTTAAAAGCCTACTTGGCATCATCTCATAAAGCTCAAGATGCACATACTTTGTGACCAAATTATTCCATTTGTTTACCACAAACTCTTAGATATGTGCATTAGAAGATATATTAATATATAGGCTGAGTACCCCTTATCTGAAATGTTTGGGACAAGAAGAGTTCAGATTTTATATTTTTTCAGATTTTGGAATATCTGCACCATACTTTGAACACCCCAAATGTGAAAATCCGAAATTCAAAATGCTCCAATGTGCATTTCCTTTGAGTGTCATGTTGGTACTCAAAAAACTTTGGATTTTGGACTATTTCAGATGTTGGATTAGGGATGCTCAACCTATATGTAAAAGATCTATATGAGAATGTTTACATTGGCATTATTTATTTAGGAAAAAAAATCCATCAACAGGAGAACGGATTCATAAATTGTGGTAAATCTGTATAATATATATAGTAAGTACTACTGAGAAAATTCAGTGTCATGTAAAACTGAATAATATATAATACATATGCCAGAGGCAATATTATTAAAAAAAAAAACAAGATAAAAATATAAAATACAGCTAGGATAAAGGAAAGGCTTCAAAGATATGGGTGTTATTGTATGACAACGGTAAGTGTGATCACCTAGCTTGTTAACAAAACTTGTGAACTTTTTACATATTTATATATTACATGTATATATACTTAAGTCTTCTATGTTTAAATATTCTTTGTATGTTTGAAATATCTCATAAAGTCCTAAAATCTCTTGAATTGAAAGTCTTTATGTGAGGCATGTACTCCCTGTTCACCTCAATTGCAGTCCTCTTCCCACTGTCTCAATAGGGTCTCCTTTTAAATCCAGCCATGAAGCAATTCAAGTAGGCAAGTATCATCCTCCATGGTACTGTCATCTCTCTATCTCCAGATATCTGGCAACAATCCCATCAGAACTAACCATGGCCTCCTCTTTTCCTCCCATTACTAGTTCTCTTTTTTGTGGCTGTTTCTACCATCTTGGAAATAATAATTTTTAACTCTCTATATCTGATCTCCCTTTTCCTATTTTTTTAAAAAAATCCTTATCTGTCCTTTTTTCTAGTACAATTCCAAAATGAAGACTGACTAGCATAAAATTAAGTACATGAATCCCCAATAAATATTTGTGGAAAATCACTAGATCTGAACAATCTCAGACCATAGGTTTTGGAACTGGCTATCTGGGAAGAGAGAAAGACAGGGGTATGACAGTCAATTAAAACATAAACCCTGACAGACAAAGGAACTCTGCCTATATAGAAACAATAAAGATGGTCTGTCTCTAGTCACAGTATAATTTACGCAGGAAAAAAAGCAAACTTTTGGTGGAGAAAGAGGTCATTCTCATTTAAAAGGAACTTTATTAATAAATATTTGTATATGTGCTTATTCAACATAAATCTTCTGTTTAGAAAGAAGTATTATAGCTGAGTAAACTGTTCATTTGCATAATAAGAACCCACAGTGCTCTTATATGCTGATAAACTTTTAAATAAAAAGTCACGAAGTATATGTCTAACCATTAAATATTCTAGCCAAATGAATACTGACAGAGTAAGATACCAGTTTTGATAAGAGCAAACATCAATACAAACCCATTAATGTGTTCCTTTCCACCACAGAAGCTGGCCTATCTCCATCACCACGTGCAACTTGCTGAGTTAAGTAGGCAGACAAGGATGACGGTAGAGCATCCTGCCAGATTAAGAAGTTCAGCAGGTAGGAAGCTGTCACACAGTCGTATGGTTTGGTGCTTGTGCTGAGTGCCAATGCTGCCTGAAATAAGCCTTGCAGTTTCTCTGAATCCTAGAATAAAGCACAGACTCAGTAACTGTCAAATTAAAGATTTCTTTAATTAAAAAAATAGTAAATTATTTAAAACAGCCTGGAGCTGGGTACAGTGGCTCAAGCCTGGAGTCCCAGCTACTCAAGAGGCTGATGGAGGAGGATTACTTGAGGCCAGGAGCTCAAGATCAGCCAAGACAACATAGTAAGACCCCATCTCAAAAAAACAAAACAACACAGGCTGGGTGCAGTGGCTCATATCTGTGACCCCATCACTTTGGAAGGCCAAGATGTGAGGATCGCTTGAGGTTAGGAGTCTTGAGACCAGCCTGGGTAGCACAGTGAGACAAAAAACTTACTCTACAAAAACTCTACAAAAAAAACTTAAAAATTAACTGCGTGTAGTGGTGCACACCTGTAGTCCCAGCAAGTCAAGAGTTTGAGAGGGGAAGATCACTTGAGCTCAGGAGTTCATGGCTACAGTGAGCTATGACTGCACCACTGCACTCCAGCCTAGGCAATAGAGCGAGACTCTGTCTCTATGAAAAAAAAAAAAACAAAAAACACAGCCTGGCATACAACTGTAACTCAATATAAATATTAATTTCCTTTCTCCCTGAATATAGGTAAGTTTTTTATTACAGTAATTAATGATTATTAATCGGTTGGAAATAATTTCAATTGGGAAATTCAACACTGATAAAACCTTTTTTTAAAACTGCTTCTTTCTTCAGCAAAAGTGTACTTTGTCCTTTAGAATTTTGCTATGATTACAGCCAGACTATCTTCATTATTTCTAGACAGGGCAGTTCATAGTCTCTCTGGGCTGATGTTTCACCTGGGCATCATATGGCTGCCCTTCTCCCTTCCTCCTTCCTATACAGGTAGTTCACTGGAGAAAACTGCAAATCCCCTGGGAGGCTGTACCTGGCAAAACTTCGTGTGTGTAGAAAACAAAGTGATCAATTCAGCCTCAGAAATTATGCATCAGTGCTCCACACCTATATCTCATAGAAACACCCACTCACATCGCCTGTCCTAAAGAAGACAGAACAAAGGACAGTGTGCTGTTGTAGTCACGGAAAGGCACTGGGTTGACAACAGAAGACATGAGTCCTAGTCCCAACTTCAACAACTGGCAAGCTGTGTGTTCACCAGTCTGGAAGTCAGGGTTTGGCTGCTCAATAATATTCTGATTCTACTAGGATTATGCCCTATCTTATGTCAGGAGAAAATAATTATACACTCAATTTTGAAGTAGATTACAGGTCTACAAATATTTGATGATGTTTTATAATTTCACAACAGTAGATATCAAATGTGGTGATTTAAATATGTTTATTCCAATTTAAATTCTTCACCATTTGATATGTTTATTTTCTATGACCTAAATAAAAAACTTAAAAGTAGTGGCCAAAGTTCAAGTATTAGAACCAACTAAGCATCTACGCCATTTTTTAACTGACAATTAAGTCCCAGAACTGTTTTATTAACCATTAGTAAGAAAGATAATAGCCTTTAAAGTCTAAAATGTCTTTGTTCCATCATCTTAGGTAAATCGAAGTATAATATGACAAAAGATCTAGGATATGCAGCTCCACAGAAAGAAGGGGAGTAAACTAGGTGAACAGGGTAGTCGAGCTACTTATGAGAAAAATATGCCGTCAACAATACGTACGTACGCGTCCTTAGAGAAATCAGGTTAGCATTCAAAAACTGCTGTAAACTTAACTATATTAAAAAATTAATTATATATTATATAAGGGATACCCAAAGAAAGACTTTGGAAATATAATATTGTGATGGTTAATACTGAGTGTCAACCTGATTGCATTGAAGGATGTAAAGTATTGTTCCTGGGTTATGTCTGTGAGGGTGCCAAAGGAGATTAATATTTGAATCAGTGGACTGGGAAAGGCATCCTCTATCTGGGTAAACACAATCCACTCAGGTGCCAGTGCAGCCAGAATAAAAGCAGGAAGAAGAACATGGAAAGATTAGACTGGTTTAGTCTTCTGGCCTACTTCTCCCATGCTGGATGCTTCCTCCCCTGGAACATCAGACTCTCCCAAGTTCTTCAGCTTTGGCTTCCTTGCTCCTCAGCTTGCAGAAGGCTATTGTGGGACCTCACCTTGTGATCGTGTGAGTCAATACTCCTTAATAAACTCTCCTTTAGATATACATCTATCCTATTAGTTCTGTCCCTCTAGAAAACCCTGATACAAATATATAATTAATAATTTAAGTCTTGAATGCCTATTCCTTTAACTATTTTACTAATCTGCAAGCCAGACAGAGAGTATAAGCAAAGTCCTATAGCAAACCACAGGTGGTACTAAATTTCTTGAATTCTATGGCTAGTGTCACTATACCAAGCACAGGTTTATCAAATTTAGAGATGCAGAGGTCCCCTAAGCCCCTTAGTGATGCAAGGGTTAAGTCTTTCACATTTATGCCATAATATGCCTTCTCCATCCAGGTACTCTCAAAATATTTACCAAGAATGAGGCATCACTATTGACAAAATATGAGGTGACGTGATGAATGATAAGGTGAGGAGGGGCAGACAGAGGAAGAGAAAATCTCCTCTTTAAAACCTGTGTATGGTAACAAAAGTTAGCAGCCTGAGCACCAGGGAACTTTCTGCTCACAAGGGCACCTGAAAAATCATAGGCATCGGTAGATGCTGTACAGCAACTTCCAATATGGACCCAAGTCAAAAAAGACAGCTGTTCTGAGAGATAGATAGATAGATGTTCTACATAGCCATCTAGAAGCCACAGAAACAGATACTACCCTCTCTGGCATGTGATCCTACAGAATCTCACTGCATCTACAAGCTACCATGCCCTAAACACAGCTGAACAACCACAGCCTAGACCATGGCTCAGCTGCAGCAGGCACCCTCGGCCTTTATAGAGCTCTAATAGAAAGCCATAGCTAAGCTCCAGAACCAGTACTCTGCTGGTGACCCAACAGCCCCAGGAGAAGCCTCAAGGGCAGAGCTAAGAGCCTGGGTCTGGAAGTCCCCTGCAGACTCATCCCCATGCAATGTGTTCACTTCCAACCCCATCTTTAATTCCTACCCCAAAGCGGGAAGAGCAATGTGTCAGGAAGAATGGAGGGGCTGGGGATGAGGTAGAGCACCCAGGGACTGTTGTTAACCTCAAGTACTCGGTAAGTTTCAGTCTCAGTTTAGCTATTGCTGGTTGAAAAACCAGAAACATCCTCTCTACCTCATTTACACTCAGTTTCTCAAGTGTATGAAAAAAGGAGATTATCTCAAAAAATGCAAGTTACTGTAAGCGATGTGTTCTGATCGAATATTACATGTCCAAGGAAACAGGGGAAACCACAGTTAACTAAAATCTACCAATAATCTGGTAAACAATAAAACCTACCACCTCCTACACCTCCCTTTTTATCAAAGCAATAAAAACAGCAAAGCTCACTGATTTGGGCCTTATTTACTTTTTGATATTTCCTCCTTTCCCACCAACCCCAAAATAGTAGAGAGGTGTTAATGATAATTGAAAGAAACAGTCCAAACACATGAGAAGGCAGACGCAAAGTGCATGAAAAATCCTCAGATTGCTTTATCTGCTGATAGAAAGTGTCCATGCATATACCACATTTATACTAGAAAAGTCCTGATACCTGAAAATGTACAGCTGTTTTTGATAACTTCATCAGAAGATCAAATGCTAACGTTTTCACATCTTCAAAAGTGCTGGTAAAACATTCCATTAGTGCTTGGAAACGACCAACATCAATATCATGATTCAGCTGATATACTGTATAAATTCTACCTAAAAATATTTTTAAAACAAAAAGATTTAAAAGTGAACAAAAGAAAATCAATCTTCTGAAGTTATTTGACCAAATTTATAGAAAATTAGTACCAAAAAACCACACTTCATACTTTACCCATGATAGCATAAAAGAGTAACTTTTCCACCAGTTTATTTCTTAAAATGACAAAATAAGTACCACAGTTCTCCAAATTAAAAAAGATTTTAAACCATTCCATTATCTTTCAAAAGATATTATATAAAAGATTCCTAAGTTATTGTTAAAAATAAACAAAAACAAGTAAATTTAGAAACACATCTTTTAAAAAATCTTAATAAAACTTCTTGACCTAGAATACAAAGTCCTGGCCGGGCTCAGAGGCTCACACCTGGAATCCCAGCACTTTGGGAGGCCAAGGCTGGTGGATCACCTGAGGTCAAGAGTTTGAGACCAGCCTGGTCAACAGAGTAAAACCCCGTCTCTACTAAAAATACAAAAATTAGCCAGGCGTAGTGGCACATGGCTGTAATCCCAGCTACTTGGGAGGCTGACGCAGCAGAATCACTTGAGGCCAGGAGATGGAGGTTGCAGTGAGCCGAGATCACATCAGTACACTCCAGCCTGGGCAACAGAGACTTGGTCTCACAAAAAAAAGAAGAAAAAAAAAAAAGCAAAGTCCTACTGTATCTTAGAATGAACTGACACAGAATGATCAGTATGATGACATATCCTGACAGACTTACTGGGAGTCAAGGATAAAGAAGGAATCTATTGGCCATTCAGGGAAGAGCTCAATTCATCTACAAAATGGAAAAAATTAGACTGGCTGCACTCGTCCCTATAACACGTAGTGCTAAAAGATAAGGAAGCAATGCTTACAAAATCCTCAGGGAATGAAGGTGTGAAGAACTTTGCCTATCAAACTCTTATTCAAGTACAAGAACAATAGAAACATTTTATAATATGCAAGAAATTAAGAACTACTTATCTCCAGAAACTTTTGGTGAAAAAGAAATTTCAGCCAACCAAGGGATGAAAAGAAAAATTATCCTAAAGAATGATGGCAATCATTGACTCCACTTAACTCTAGGATGAAGACTCAAGAACTGTGGAAAAATAGGGTTTCACGGCAAAATGTGAAGAACACTTAAAAACATTTCACAAGTGAACTCCTAAGGAAAACGGAAACATTCTTATGCTTACTTAATTTGAGGAATATAAATTGGGATACAAATTTCTCATTTAATGTTAATTTACAAGTTAGCACAACCCTATGAAATTCCTAGAGCCGACACCTGAGATTTTTGTTACTTCCTTAACAACTCTGTTCAGATTTGCTTCTTGTTTTCCAATCTGACTGCTTTTTATTTTTTTCTTGTATAACTGCTCTGGCTAGAACTTTCAGTACAACAGTGAACAGCAGTGGTGACAGTGGGCATCTGTGTCTTCTTCCTGATCTTAGGGCAAAAGCTTTCAGTTGCTCACCACTGAGTGTGATGTTACCTGTGGTTGTGTTACAAATGTCCATCATCTTGTCCTTCCTATTCCTAGTTTTGCTGTGTTCATTTTTTTAATCATAAAAGGGTACTGAATTTTGTCAAATGCTTTTTCTGCATAAATTAAGATGATCACATGGTATTTCCACCTTCATTTTAATGTGATGACATTGACTATTATTCTTAAGTTGACCCACCCTTACATTCCTGGGATAAACTCCACTTACTCATGGTATAAAATACTTTTAATATGCTGTTGGATTTGGTTTGCTAGTATTCTATTGAGGGTTTTTGCCGCTATATACATAAAGGATATTGGTCTTTCATCTTCTTTTTCTTTTCTTTTTTTTTTTGAAATGAAGTCTCGCTCTTGTCACATAGGCTGGAGTGCAATGGCGTGATCTCGGCTCACTGCAACCTCAGACTCCCGGGTTCAGGCGATTCCCCTGCCTCAGCCTCCTGAGTAGCTGGGATTACAGGTACCCGCCACCACGTCCGGCTAATTTTTTTTATTTTTAGTAGAGATGGGGTTTCACCATGTTGGCCAGTCTGGTCTTAAACTCCTGACCTCAGGTGATCCACCAGACTCGGCCTCCCAAAGTGGTGGGATTACAGGCATGAGCCACCACACCCGGCCGGTTTTAAGTGTCTTTGGTTTTGGTATCAGGGTAATGATGGCCTTATAAAACGAGGTAGGAGGTGTTCCCTTCTCTCCAATTTTTTGAAAGAGTCTGAGAAGGACTAGTGTAATTCTTCTTTCAATGTTTTGTAGATTTCACCGGAGAAGTCACTCGCCCTAAACTTCCTCTTCTCTCCTTCTGTGAGCCTTCTGAATACTGATTCAATCTCTTCTTAAAGGTCTGCTCACATTTTCTATTTCTTCTCAAGTCAGTAATTGTCGTGTTTCTAGAAGCTTGTCCATTTCATGTAGATTATCTAACTTGGTGTTACAACTGTTCACTGTATTGTCTTATAATCATTTTTATTTCCGCAAACTTAATAGAAATGTTCCTACTTTCATTTCTGATTTTAGTTGTTTGTACTGTCTTTCTTTTATCTTAGTCAGTTTAGCAAACTTTGTCTATTTTGTTGATCTTTAAAAACACAACTTCTGGTTTCGTTATTTGTGTTGTTTTTCTATTCTCTATTTCGTTTATCTTTGTTCTAATCTTTTTGTTTCCTTCCTTTTAAGTTCTTCTCTTCTAATTGCTTGAGGTAAAAAGTTAACTTGGTTATTAATTCAAGATCTTTTAACGTAGGCATTTACAGCTATAACTTTCCCTATAGGCACTGCTTTTGCAGCATTGTGTAAGTTTTGGTATGTTGTATTTTTGCTTTCACTCATCTCAAAATATTTTCTAACTTCCTTCATTATTTATTCTTTCATCCATCAGTTGTTTAAGAGCTTTTTTCAAATTTGAAGCCCTTTATGACACCACTGTATGAAGACACTAACACTCTCCAGCCTCCTAGGTCTTCTATATATCCCCCTTATCTTCTTGAAATATTTTCCATAGAACTTATCTACATCTTGTACATACATAATCTACATAATCTTGCATCTACATAATGTAATAATATATACAAATTCTATGTATTACTTGTTCATTCCTGTCTCCCTTCACTGAAACATAAGCTTCAAAGGAAGAAGCACCTTGTTTGGGACAGTGAATATCCTTGGCTGCTTGACATATAATAAGCACTAAATTAATATTTGCTGAACAAATCATTTTAATCTAATTGTAGAATTTTATTACCATCAATATTGTGGCATTTGATTCCACATAAGAAAGATGCATGCAACTTATTCTTCTTGGTCTAGGAAAGGCAGAAACCATTTGACTAATCTGAAATCAGAGTCCTATCACTGAAGTTCTTGAGATGATAATGAAGGATGAATTTACATCTCCTATCCTGTACTTCACAGTCAAGGTTCTTAAGTCTCCTTTAAAAGTAATGGCTACAGTATGGCTTGCTCCATTTGCATTACCTCCCAGTTGTCTAACATAATTACAATGGCATAAGTCACTGCCCAATTACATGAAACTCATACATTAGGAAGATGACTCAGGGTTTTCATTTTTAAAGTACATTTAAATGTTTTAAATTACTCTCTTGACTGAAAAATTATAGGTACGCTTCAGCCTAGTTTTAATTCCCACACACTCAGGTGCAGCTACAACTACATCAAATGCGCAGGAAACTTTTTGTTATATGATTGAAGTAATCAATCACTCTGAGGTAAAAATTTATTTTCTAAATTAAGTTGAAGTACTACTGAAATTTTATGAACTGACGGGAGACTCCTGCATTCACTGAATGCTGTAACAAATTACCACATACTTGGTGGCTTAAAACCACAGAAATCTATTCTCTCACAGTTCTGGAAGCCAGAAGTTCAAAATCAAGGTGTCAGTAGGGCCATGCACTCCAGAGCCTCTAAAATCGGTTCCTTGCCTCTTCCAGCTTCCAGCAGCTACAGGCATTCCATGGCCTGGAGCCATATCACGCCAATCTCTACCTACGCTGTCACACTGCCTCCTCTTTGGTTTGTCAAATCTCTCTCTGCCTCTGTCTTGTAAGGATACTTGTGATGACATTTTTGGTCCATCAAGATAATCTAGATATCTCACCTCAAGATCCTAAACTTAAGAACATCTGCAAGGACCCTTTTTCCACGTAAAGTTTGCATTCACAGCTTCTTAAGGATTTGATGTGGATGTGTTTTGGAGACCATTTTTCAGCCTGCCATCCCCACTTGAATAAGGTGATCATATTTCTTACATAAATACTGTAACAAGCCAATATCATCAATACTCTAAGAGGATGCCCTGTGAAAAACACCATATCACCCATACAACATTGCTGCAAAAATGTACAACATGAATCAAGTCATCAGGAAACAATGAGACAAACCCCAATTGAGACATATTCTTCCAAAATGTTAATATCATAAAACAAGAAACTTTCCAGATTAAAGGAAGCTAAAAAGAGGCATAACAACAAAACGCAATGCATGATCTAGGGTTGCTTCCCAGATTGTGGGAAGTTAGTTTTTTGTTCTATAATATAAAAGGCCATTTGTTGGGACAATTGGCAAAATTTAAATATGGACTGCATATTCGATTAAAGCATTGTATCAACATTCAAGTTCCTGAATTTGATCATTGTGTTATGGTTATAAAATTAATAAAAGACACAGATACAGCAAATATTGCAAAATATTAATAACTGATGAATCGGCCGGGTGCAGTGGCTCATGCCTGTAATCCCAGCACTTTGGGAGACTGAGGAGGGCGGAAAACCTGAGGTCAGGAGTTCGAGACCAGCCTGACCAATATGGTGAAACCCTAGCTCTACTAAAAATACAAAAATTAGCCAGGCGTGGCGGCGGGTACCTGTAATCCCAGCTACTCAGGAGGCTGAGGCAGAAGAACTGCTTGAACCTGGGAGGCAGAGACTGCAGTGATCACGCCACTGCACTCTAGCCTGGGCAACAGAGCGAGACTCCGTCTCAAAACAAAAACAAAAACAAAAACAAAAGATGAATCTAGGTAGAGCGTACATGGCTATTCATTGAACTAGTCTTGAAACTTTGCTGTTGATTTAAATTTTTTCAAAATAAAAACTTTTAAAAACTGATTTTCCCCAAATGAAGCAAGCCTCTATTACATTAGCTAACTGTCCTGTCAAAAAATTACACTTTGCCCAATATTTTAAAATAAAAAAGAATCCAATGATAGCGTAAAGCTCCCTCGTACTTCGGCCATTCCCTGTGAAAGAGCAGCTGAGCAGGATATTTTCCTGTTTGACCACAGTCAAGGAAGACTGAGCACAAGCAAGAAATCCCGCATTATAACACATATACACGGAAAAAAGAATCATTTTGGCAGGGCACGGTGGCTCATGCCTGTAATCTCAGCACTTTCGGGGACCGAGGCAGGCAGATCACGAGGTCAGGAGATCAAGACCATCCTGGCTAACACGGTGAAACCCCATCTCTACTAAAAACACAAAAAATTAGCCAGGCGTGGTGGCACGTGCCTGAAGTCCCAGCTACTTGGGAGGCTGAGGCAGGAGAATCACTTGAACCCAGGAGGCGGAGGTTGCAGTGAGCCGAGACCATGCCACCGCACTCCAGCCTGGGTGACAGAGCTAGACTCTGTCTCAAAAGAAAAAAAAAGGAATAATTTCTTGTCAAAAAAGAAAAAACAAACAAAAAAAAAGATCTGAAGAGGGAACTGAAATTTCACCCTCTTGAGAACCACACAGAAGGAAAAACAAAGGGTATCATTAAACCAGAACACTTGGAAATTACAGCCTCATGTTGTCTTTCCGAAACCAGATTGAGGCATATGAAACAGATAGTATGTAAGGGAAACCACATTTTAACCACAGAGCTCACTGAGAAATATTAAATATAATAGAAGCTATTATTATTTCAAATTTTAAAACTTAAAGAACAGATTGGATACTATCTTAAAACAGCAACAAACAAACTAGGGAGGTAAGAGCTGGAACTCTTTCCATAATAAGCATAATCCATGAAAATTACACTTTGGGGTTGGCAAACAATGATCAATGAAAAGGGAGATAGTTTCTCTTCTGTCCTTTACTGGCAAATTTCATTATGTACAAGCAAGAATTACATGGTAAGAATAAAACCTCAAAGAAAGGCAACAAAACTGAAACTTCAAATAAAGCAAAATGTAGAATAAGTATGTTTTGAAAGAAAAAATATTATTTCCCATAACATTATTAAACACTTACCTTCTGGGACATGAAAAACTTCAGCTATTGAGCCTAAAATGGTTAAAGCTGAAAATCTAGTTGAGTAGGAAGATCCAGGAAACAATGCTTCGAAAAGACTGTTACAAATGGATGACATGAAATTCTTAAAAAAAAAAAAATTACAGTAAGTATAATTACGTCACAATAGGTTATATTCATAGTATTAAACACCCTTTTAGAGTGGGTGTTTTTGTTTTTAATGTAAAAATAAAAAATTTCAAAAATGATACTGGTTGTTCATTTTGCTTAATAATTCAGGTTAGTACCCTTGACCATAAGCTATATCATGACTTTAATAAACCCTATATTTGCAGAGTCAACAAGAAGTACAATTTCTATTGTAGCCCAGACAGATGTGTACACTTTTTTTTTTTTTTAAGACAGAGTCTCACTGGGTTCAACAGCCCTAGTCTTCACTGACTCTACCGAAGATCCCTGCATTCATTTCTAGGGTGAAGAACATGCAACCTTGGGGATTTATCCTTTAGGTCCCCACAAGCCCTAAGAGTTTATTAGGTTATTAATTCTATTAGGTTTCAAAGGAATAGGGCCATTACTGAAAAATATCCCAGTTAAACTACTTTTAATTATAAGTGAAACAGGATTCACATTAAAACACAACAAGGGCCAGGCGTAGTGGCTCATGCCTATTATCCCAGCAATTTGGGAGGCTGAGGCGGGCGGATCACCTGAGGTCAGGAGTTCGAGACCGGCCTGGCCAACATGATGAAACCCCGTCTCTACTAAAAATACAAAAATTAGCCCGGTGTGGTGGCGGGCGCCTGTAGTCCCAGCTACTCAAGAGGTTGAGGCAGGAGAATTGCTTGAACCCAGGAGGTGGAGGTTGCAGTGAGCCAAGATCACGCCACTGCACTCCAGCCTGCGTGAAAGAGCAAAACTCCGTCTAAAAAACACAAGATCATCCACTAGGAGGTATCATTCAAACTGTATTGTCATTTATATGCTTAAATATAGTTCTTTCCCGCAATGAGACTGTAGCCATGATGAAGGTAGGGACCACATTTCTATGTTTGGATCCCTAGTGCTGAGCACACTATCCTACATACATAGTAACACTCAGTATATGCTCTAATCACTTTTAATGGTTCCCAGTGAAACTTCCAAATCTTCCTTGGCCTATCACTGAAAGCTATCCATTTTCAACTTGATTCTTTGGATTCACTTCCTATTACTCAAGTCCTCCATTCCCTAAGGTATTTTATGTCATTCACACCACTGAATTCACCATTCCCCGAGATCTCCCTGTACTTTCTTATCTCCAAGCCTTCGTTAAGCTAGTACTGGGGGTTGCAGGGAGAAAACACTGAGATTTTGGAGTCAAGAGCAGGTCTGGACTGGAGTTCTGACTCTACCACTTACTAGCTGAGGAAACTTACAAAGGTTATTGCACTTCACTGAGCTTCAGCTTTCTCACTTGTTAAGTGGGGATAAGAATGTTATCTCACAGCCTTTTTATTAAAGGTTAAATGAGAACATGGACATCTAACATTTTATAAATTTAAAAGGACTCTAGTTACTATCAGTTATTTAGGTATAAAATAATCTCCACTAGACTAGAAGACTTCTTTTTCAACTAATAGCCTCCTCTTCTCCCCCAGCACTTAAAGTCTATCGATTGGCACTGAGCACACCACACACTGTGCACGGCACCCACTGTTCTGACGATGTGACAGTCATGACACTATAGTGCCAAGGTCACAACCTCCAAAAGCCACAGGTGTGCCAGTAGGGAAAAAGTACCACAACCACGAGACTGACTCAGATTAAGACTCTAAGCACTAATTTTCAAAACACACATACTTATAAGCACAGACCAAGAAACCATGCATACATGAAAATTCAGAATCTCAATCCAAAAAACAGCTTTTGTATTTCCAAGTACTTAATTGAGTTTTCACAAATCGTCATTTTACCCCTTACAAAAAGAAAGTAAACGAGATATGCATTGTTAGATCTACCAATGATCTAAGAGAAACTACAAAATAACTAGGCTGGGCATAATATCCAAAATAATCCATAATGATGTTGAGAGTAGGTAGTATGTCACGCCTGTAATCCCACCACTTTGGGAGGTGGAGGCGGGGGAATCACTTGAGGTCAGGATGTCGAAACCAGCCTGGGTAACACAGCAAGAACCCACATCTACAAAAAATTAATTAATTTAAAAGAAATTTTTTTAACTGTCCCACACGCACACTGGGGGCTTCAATATATATTCTAGTCACTTTTTAAATTTTTATTTATTAATTTTTTGAAGCAGGGTCTCACTGCTCTGTTGCCCAGGATGGAGTGCAGTGGTACAATTAAGGTTCACCGCAGCCCTGACCTCCTGTACTCCAGCAACCTTCAAGCCTCAGCCTCCTGAGTATCTGGGACCACAGATGCGCACCACCATGCCCGTCTCAAGGTTTTTTGGTTTTTTTTTTTAATAGAGATGGGGTCGTGCTATGTTGCCCAGGCTAGTCTTGAAGTCCTGGGCTCAAGTGATCCTCCTGCCTCAATCTCCCAAAGTGCTGAGATTACAGGCATGAGCCAGCGCCAGTCGCTTTTAATGACTCCCAGCAAGGCTTTGTAGAGAGATACATAGTTACATCACTTCTCGGCCTTTTGGCTAAGATCAAGTGGAGAAATACAAACTACAAAGAGCTTTTTCATTTAATCCTCAAATCAATCTTTTGAGAAAGGTTACTAATTCTGCTTATAGTTGATGAGACTCAAGTCAGCCAACTAATAAGTGGCAGAATCAGGAGTAAACCTATGTCTTTAAAATTCAGGTTGTGACTTCCCAATCTTCATCATTGAGATTTTAAGAAGTCAAGCTGATTTTAGCCTTTGAATAGAAATATTCTTTGTTTGATGGCTTTTTATCTTTTAAATACAAAACTGAAAACCAAGGGCATCCATAATAATGTTTAGAGTAAGTAGTGAGCATGTCATAGTTCAAATGTATCATTAATCTATTTATCTACCTCTTTCTCAAAATAAATAGGTAAGTTCTGTCTTCTATCTGGGCCTGAGGAGAAAAAAAGGGTCTGCTTCTCAAAGGCTAGATTTGGGGGAAGAATAGTGAAAAGCTCAATCTGTTCTGCTGAAAAGAAATTCAAGATTGTCAAGCTAAGCCCTGGCCCAGACTGGAGCTGCTGTACCTGGGTTTCCATCCATTTCATTAACACAATGCCCTAAAATCCAGCCCTACTCTTCAAGCTCACTCCAATGTAAAACAGACAGCAAGCTCCCTCCACAGCTGGACCATGGGCCAAGAGTCATTAATACCAAGCCTCTGTAAGTCATGTCAATCTAACGAGAAAACAGGCCCAGCAACAGCAGTCTTCTGCCCTGGAGAAGGACGGAGTTCAGTACTATCAATTACCCTTCTGTTAAAGTACTAAATTCATCTGGCCCACATGAGCTGAAAGTGACTGGGGTTAGCCCACTAACGTCATTCTGTAACAGTCCTCCTGTACAACACTGGTTCCATAACCCAGGCTACATCAAGTAGCGCACCAAAGCAGAAGAAACAGGTAATACTCAGCCTGAAGGAAAAAAAGCAGAGAAACTCAATTCACCGAAAGACTTCCATTTATTTCCCTTTAATGCTTATTCATTATACTTTTTAATTTTTAAAAAAAGTCTATGTTTAGAACTATATCACCTACCTTATACTGCTGTAAAGAAACAGAAGGGTGCTGTTTGGTTAACTCCTTCTCTGGTTCATGTTTGGATTTATTCTGCTCCAATTTATAAAGTACCTGAGAACTTTCCTGTATTCTACAAAACAACTTTTGAGACAAAGAAAATGAAGCGGAGGTGAGCCACACATTAAATTTAAATGTCAGCCTGAGAGGCAAAATCTTTTTTTTTTTTTTTTTGAGATGGAGTCTGGTTCTGTCGCCCAGGCTGGAGTGCAGTGGCCGGATCTCAGCTCACTGCAAGCTCCGCCTCCCGGGTTTACGCCATTCTCCTGCCTCAGCCTCCTGAGTAGCTGGGACTACAGGCGCCCGCCACCTCGCCCGGCTAGTTTTTTTGTATTTTTTAGTAGAGACGGGGTTTCACCGTGTTCGCCAGGATGGTCGCGATCTCTTGACCTCGTGATCCGCCCGTCTTGGCCTCCCAAAGTGCTGGGATTACAGGCTTGAGCCACCGCGCCCGGCCAAGGCAAATTCTTTAGAATAAAACGTCAGGCAAGGAGAGCACTGATTTTTAATCTCTTAATATTTTATAACGTTTCTTTTTGATGAAAAATAATTTTTATGCCAAAAACAAAGTTATTATTGCAAAGCAGAATACTATCATTAAACCACAGTTCTATTTCCTTTAAGTTGGCACAAACCTGAAGATGATATAGTCATTTCCCTACTCTACCAATTCTTCACCCCATAAATGTGTTGCGCAATTAATTCAAGTTGGATTATTTGATAATGATCACTTTATGAGGTGCTTAAAACTATAAAAATGCAAGGGCATTCTTTCTCCCGTTACCAATTTTTCTTAAAACTACCTTAACTCCAGCATTAGATTTTTTCTTTACAAAAAAGAACCCAAGGTTGATTTACTACACCAAAATGAAAGGCCTTTTGGACATGTGTGGTGGCTCATGCCTATAACCGCAACACTTTGGGAGGCTGAGGTGGGAGAACCACTAGAGCACAGGAGTTTAAGACCAGCCTGGGCAACAGAGTGAGATCCTATCTCTTTTTTTTTCTTTTTTTTTTTCTTTTTGGAGACTGAGTCTCGCTCTGTCACCCAGGCTGGAGTGGTACAATCTCGGCTCACTGCAACCTCCGCTCCTAGGTTCAAGCAATTCTCCTGCCTCAGCCTCCCAAGCAGCTAGGACTACAGATGCACACTGCCACGTCCGGCTAATTTTTTTGTATTTTAGTAGTGATGGGGTTTCACTGTGTTGCCCAGGCTGATCCTGAACTCCTGAAAAAAAATGGTGAGGGGAGGGGTGTGTGCTTTCCACTCTGGATTTTAATCCCAAATGTAAGCTTTATGGAATCAGAGAACAGGTCATAGAAGGGCCATCATGAACAGAGGCGGTAGCCCAATTCCATGACCATTCCCACACGCTCCCAAAATCTGGGCTCTTTTTAAAAACCATTTCCCAAACAAAGTTCACCACTTCCCTATGCCTTCTGATGGGAAATTCTACCTTTTTAAGAAGTGAACAGATCTGTTGCCGCACTCCTGGAGACTGGCTGTTAAGATTGTATGTAATAAAGAACTGAATCCACTGCATTTCTTCCATGGAAACAATTTCTGTGCTTCGATTACTTTCACAAAGCAAGCCTAATGTATCTATCCTTACCTAAAAAACATCAAGCAATAAAACATTAATTTTCCAAGAAAAAAGCAAAACCTAAATCACTTGAATTGTTTAATTACTTACATAGGCTACAAAAGGAAAAAAATAAACTTCAGTTCACCAATAGGTACCTTAGAAAGGTTTCTTAATCTCAAAGATCCTAGTGTTATTTCCTATACAATTTTTTTATTAAACGTGTAAATTGGGGATTTATAAAATGCAACAATCAAAGATTTTTATTCCATGGTAATGCTCAGCTTCATTCCTTTTTCTCTTTTTTTCCAGTGACCCCCTTTACCCCATCACCTCACTCTTAAATTACTGCCAGGCACTTCTAACTGGTTTCCTGGTTTCTTTCTGCTCCCACTCTGGAAATTCATGTTTCCACTAATGTAATTCCTTGCTGAAAACAGAGTGGCTTTGGTTTAGCTTCATAAAACCAGCTGGTGCCTGGGAACCAATGAAGTCTTTAGCCTAACATTAGACCTTTCCAAAAAATGTCCAAAACACTCCACCCCTGATAAGCAATGTTCTTACTCATCCTCCAGACCTTGCTCATTTGGGTCCCTCCATTTTGTATGCTGCTCCAAGGCTTCCTCTTTTCTAATCGTATCTATCACTTTCCTAATCAAGCACTACCTGCTCTGATCAGTCTGAGCCTCCCAAGCAAGTCCTTATGTATTTAAGGGCACATGATGGCACGCTTGTATCTGTACTGTCAGTTCTAAGAGTTTCCAGTTGTTTTATGCAAGTTTTCTTACATCCTCAACTAAACTTGCAGTAGCCTGAAGAAAGTGTCTACTGAAAGTTTAGTTGGGAGACTAGGGTTTCTACTCATTCTCTTTATGAACCCCCTAAAACAGTGCAGGACATAATGTAGGGGCCTCTACATTGAACTGCTACATGAAAGGGATCTACTGCACCTACAAATCCAGGTAATTTTCTTTACTTACTTGACAATGCTGATGAATTAAGCCTTGCTTTATTCTTGCACCAGACACGAGGTTCTCCCAGGTATCAGTAGCAGACTGAAGATGTCCATGAGCTCTAGCTATTCGCAGACATGCCATCAAAGCTCCCAGAGCCCCCCTGCTATTACAAGACCCTAAGGATGGGAAAGATTGCTCTTGTCCTGAAAGCACAGTAAGAAAGACCATTACCATATTATGCAATGACTACTATAATTATCAGCTGCTAATTTTCATGTTTCCAATTAACATTTTATTTCAATAAATGAAAATCACATTTTAAACTCATTTCTAACATAAATTAAAGTTCCTATTCTAAAATAAATCATTATTTAAAATGATTTGTCCTTTTGTCAATCGTTTCAGGTAAGCATAATTCTCTTATTGTTAACACAAACAAATCATTATTTACCTGCTAACATTTTTACTTTTTCCCTAACACTTAGAAAATGAATCAGGAAGTAAATCAGGAAAAAAAATCAGGTGGAGAAATAAACACATCAGTGGCTACAGACTTATTATTGCTCTAAAAGTAAACACTGAACCTCTCTGCACATTTTAGAGTGACTGTTTTTCACTAGTAAAGAAGATTTAAAAAGGAACACAAACAGCCTGCTGGTTTGAGAGGCTAGCACATCAGCCATTACCAGGAAGACAGGGCAGCTTGATATAAAAATAAAGACAACCTTACTTCAGAACAGATTCTTGAATCCTGAATTTCAGATGGCTTTTCAAAAAGTCAAGAACAACTGTTGTCAAAAATTACAAAAAATGGCTTATTTTCACATACAGGAATCAAATTTTCCTGCTACCTCATGGCTACTCTTTGAAGTACTGAAAGTTTTTAACAATTTTAGTTGAAAATATTTCTTAAAATCACACTGTACAATACTACATTTTTGCTTTGTTAAACAATATAATAATTTTAAGATTTATACGATGTGTCATGATCATCACTTTACACATCCTGAATTATGCTTGAATTTGCAGTGATTCCTGTAGGGTTTGTGAGTTTCAATGGGATGTCTACCCCTATTGTAAGTAACTATAGATGGCTATTTCTTGAGATCATGCCTCTGAATTTTGTCACTTCCCCAGAGAAAAGAACTTGCTACTGCCAAGTTACCTGTCTTTAACCTTGCCTAACACAATTTTTAATTATTGTCTCAATCACTTGAATAAGCACATTATATAAGACACACAAACTTTTATTCCAGTAATACAACAAAATAAATTCAGAACTTGAAAAAATGAATTAAAACCTTGTAATAAAGGAAAGTTTATCATTGTAAGTAGAATTATTCTTTAGCTTGTAGAAATGACTTCAGCCAAAAAACTCCATTCAGCTTTATACAGGAACATTCGTTTCAAACTGAAACATCTATCATTAATCTCCTCCTTTACTATTTATAGAAGTGATATTTAAATTTAAATATGATTAGCATCTGCATAGCTACCTACATTTAAGTATTATAATTAGAAATTACTAAAACAAAAATGCATTTTTCTTACCAGTTTTAGCATCAATAGAAGTCTGAAGAATCTTTACCATGTACTGTAAGCTTTCAGGGCTGTAACTTAGTAATTTTGGCAAGTAATAATCAATCACGTAAGATTTTTGATCCAAGTTTCCTTCACACAGTATAAAAAGGAGAGGAGAAACCCAAGTCTCATGCCACTGGTCAATCCAAGAACTCTCAGCAGTCTGGGATTTCAAATGACTCTTATGATTTTTAAACATGGTTTCCAAGAGGTCACTTGCATAAGGTACCAATGACTGGTCCCCCATCACCTCTAAGATTTGAGATGGAATAGTTTTATCTATAGCCAGAATATGTTCAATTCCTATGCACTCTACCAAACAACCAAGGCACATGTACTTTCCTTTAATATGCCATTCCAATCGCAGAAGACTCTCAGTTAGTTTCACAAAGAAAGGATCAGGGACCAAAACTGCACCTTCCACAGTGAGCCGGTGCATTTGGAGAAGGTTTTTGAACATGATTTTGGTTTGGTGTCTTAGAGCATCCAATGGATGTTCCCAATGGGTATAGACATATTCCAAAAGTCTCCCAACTATACTTGAATTCCCATTCAGGCTGTCCCTTAGGCTGGGGGAACTTGATTCAAGGACTTGTATGGCTGAATTAGTCCAGGATGCCATGATTCTTGACAGAAACATTTCCAGCGTTGGCTCTTTAATCCTGAAGGAAAACAAGCCATGATCCATTATTGTAAACTGATTAGTAAAAGAAATTTCATTTTAGAACAATTTAGACTTTAAAAATATTAAATACAAAGAATGAGCACAAATTTCAATTATTAAATTTACAAGAACAAAAAACTACAAGTAAAGACAAAACCGATCTCAAATTTGTGTATGAATCTTTTTACCTTGTAAAAAGTAATCCAGAAAGGAGTTCAAGACCAGCCTAAGCAATATAGTGAAACCCCATCTCTATAAAAATTTTAAAAATTAGCTGGGTGTGGTGACACACACCTGCAATCCCAGCTACTTGGGAGCCTGAGGTGGGAGGATTGCTTGAGCTCATAAGTGAGACTGCAGTGAGCTGTGCTCACACCACTACACTCCAGTCTGGGTAACAGACTTTGTCTCAAAAATAATGATAATAGTCCAGGAAAGGACATAGGGAAATTTGGGGGATGATGGAAATATTCACTCTCTTGATTGTGATGATGATTACATGTGTAATCTATTTATTTATTTATTTATTTTTGAGACGGGGTCTTGCTCTGTCACCCTGGCTGGAGCACAGGGGCGCAATCTCGGCTCACTGCAACCCCTGCCTCCCAGGTTCAAGCGATTCTCCTGCCTCAGCCTCCCTAGTAGCTGGGATGACAGGCACATGCCACCACACCTGGCTAATTTTTTGCATTTTTAGCAGAGACGGGGTTTCACCATGTTGACCAGGTTGGTGCTGAACTCCTGACCTCAAGTGATCCACCTGCCTGAGATCTGCACACCTGGGATTACAGGTGTGAGCCACCATGCCTGGCCTATACATGTAATTTAAAACATAAGGAAAGCCAAGGGTTGGAGATGGTTGGGGGAATGGGGCTTCTCTGTGATAAAAATATTCTAAAGTTATTTGAATTAACTTTTAAGATGTTAAAAATTAATTTTAGAAATGTTGATAGTTTATCAGACTTGTGAGGATCACTTTAGATTACCTATGTTAATGTTCTTCATAAATTCTAAAGCACTACACATGTAGAAATTTTTATAGTTTTAAAAAACGATGGTAAAAACAAATTTGAAGAAAAAAATGTTTTAAAGAAAAAAGATAGCATGAAGAATATTAAAAATTAATTTTTGAAATGCTGGTGGTTGTACAACTCTGTGAATAAACTAATAAAGTGAATTGTACACTTTAACTTTATGAATTGCATAATATATTAATTATAGCTCCAGTATGTAAAAAATTATTTTAATTTTCCTCCTTTATTCATATGTTCATTATTATCAAGCTGTATATATGTTTTGACATTTCATATATGTGATCACTTTCAGCTATTATGGCAAAAACACCACAAAAATACAAAATACAGCCCCATGAAGTCAGAAGACCTTCTAATATTGCTGTCTCAGGTTCTTATTAGCAATATGCTCTTAGGTAAGCATTTACTTTTCTAAGCCTCCCTTTGCCCATTCAACAAATTAGATTTCTTATCCTATATAGTAGACATATGAGGATCACATTAGATTACCTATGTTGAAGTTCTTTATAAATTCTAAAGTACTATACATATAAAACTTTTATAGTTTTAAAAAATGATAACATTGAAAATGTTAAAAATTAATTTTAGAAATGTTCCTCACCAGCTAACCTGCAGCAATAATTTCATTTATTTTTTTTTTTTTGAGATAGGATCTCACTCTGTCACCCAGGCTTGAGTGCAGTGGCACAATCATACCTCACTGCATCCTTGGCCTCCTGGGCTCAGGCAATCTTCCTATTTCAGCCTCCCAAGTAGCTGAGACTACAGGTGCATGCCACCACACCCAGCTAAGTTTTAAAAGTTTTGTACAGAGAGGGTCTCACTATGTCACCCAGGCTGGTTTTGAACTTCTGGCCTCAAGTGATCCTCTTGCCTCAGCCTACCGAGAGGGTAGCTGGGATTACAGGCACAAGCCACTCTAGCTTTTGGACTACATCTTTTAAATGTCTTACAAGTGAAACAAAATATGAGACAATAGCATCAAAACTCACTGTGAACTCAAGGTGAACAAAACATGTGCAGTATCCAAGAGAAGGGCCTCCCCACTCCGACCCATGCTCCCATTCTGCCAGTCCAACATGGCAAGTGTCCCCTGACATAGGAATAAGACAGCTGACCCAGAGACGTTACCACAACAGAGGCTTCTGCAGCTGTTCATAAACCACTCGGGGACACTGGTGCAGTCCACAGAACGAAGAAGCACACTGCTAATCTGGAAAAATATAGCAGAGCTAATACACATAAAGCTTTTAAAACTTTTCAGAGACATTTCAAAATACAAACCCAAACATCTCTTTCCCCTGAAAAATCCTAGGAAAAATGACTAAACCCAAAGATAAAATACCCACAAATGTCATTATTATTATATTAGTATTAAAGGAAAAAAATTACATCAAGTACGTGAATGATTTTGCTGGTTGGAATGTACTGGCTGAGCACAACACATCGCCACCTGCAGGTGGATAAGCTTAACAACTCTTTTTTTTTGGTTTTTTTTTTAAACAAATGCTTTTAGAGGTGATTTGAGAAATAAACATCTTCAACTTATTCAAAGATAATTACTTCGTGTGATCTCATAAAATAATGCACACATATTTTTCTAAGGTAAGGTAAAAAGATAAAATAAGTTTCCATATAATATAGCAAGCAAAAAAAGAAACCTACTAGTAAAAAATACAAGGATTGTGGCCAGAATTATCAAATTATACTTTCTATAAGAAGCAAATTTACTGAAAAATTGACTCTATCTAGCATGCTTCCTGTCTAAAGTACATGATTTGGGTTATTCTTAATAAAAAACACATTTATCAGAAAAGTTATTACTGTGTATGTATCTATACATTAATATGCATAATTTTAACATTAAAAATATCTTTTAACATACTATTGAGAGATGACACTGAACAAACAGCACTAGAAAAAACTAAAAGAATATACATCAAAAATGTTTATAGTGATTATCTTTGTGAGATGGACTTACAGGTGACTGTTATTGTCTTTTTGTTATTGTTGCTTTATCTGAAATTTTGGAATTGTCTCTTATTATAAGAGAAAAGGGTCATCGGAAGGAACCAGACAATGCAAAAAAAATTCTTTTAATTCCCTTCTTTAAAAATATTTTTAATTTTTTTTTTAAGAGACAAGGTCTCACTCTGCTGCCCAGGCTGATGCAATCTTATCTCACTGCAGCCTTAAACTCCTGGGCTCAAGCGATCCTCCCACCTCAACCTCTCAAGAGCTGGGATTACAGGTGTGCACCACCATATCCAGCGAATTTTTTTATTTTTTGTAGAGACAAAGTCTAGCTAAACTCCCCAGGCTAATCTCAAACTCCTGGCCTCAAGTGACCCGCCTGCCTTGGCCACCCAAAGTGTTGGGATTATAAGTGTGAGCCACCGCACCAAGCCAAAAATATTTTTTAAACATACTCTAACTCTCAATAAAGTACAATTCTAAAAAGGAGATGCACTTACCAAATGAGGAATCTTTTCAGATGGGTGAAACATAGTCTTAATAAAAAGAGTAATAGCTAATCCAGATGTGCTCTGTACAGTCTGTAATAGATCATCTATTTGGCAAAAAAGAAGACAACTTATGTTAAATAATGAATATTCTGTTACAGTGGAAAGAGCAGATGCTGAGCAGCCAGATAGGCCTGGCTACAATTTCTAGTCTGACCACTTCCTGGGTGAATAGGTCTTACATAAATTATTTTAAATCCCACAAACTCTGTTTTCTCTTCTGTAAAATGGGATAACTCTTAACTGACACAGTGTCAGGTTTAGATGAACAATGAATATAAAGGCTTTTTAGAAGCAGTCTCACTCTGTTGCCAGGTCGGAGTACAGTGGCATGATCTTGGCTCACGGCAACCTCTACCTCCCGGGTTCAAGCGATTCTCCTGCCTCAGCCTCCTGAATAGGTAGAATTACAGGCGCGTGCCACCACACCCAGCTAATTTTTGCATTTTTAGTAGAGACAGGGTTTCACCATGTTGGCCATGATGGTCTCAATCTCTTGACCTTGTGATCCGCCCACCTCAGCCTCCCAAAGTGTTGGGATTACAGGCGTGAGCCACCGCGCCCGGCTGAATATAAAGGCTTTTAAGCCCAGCATATAGATACTCAATAAATGTGATTCCTTCCTCTCTCCTCTAACATACACTTTCTTCCTCTCCAACTACTGCTTCCCAGAACACCTAACAGCAACACCACCTGTCCCTTCCTCTCCACCAATGCCTCTGTATCCCAATCACCACAGACATAGACTTTTTCAATGTGTAAAGAATGTACGTAAGTGCTAACTACAAACTTTGCTAGCACTGACACTGTACCCATAGCAACCAGTTTTGACTTGGTATCTTCTTTTTGTTTTATCTCTATTAACCTCTAATACCATGGTGAATTGTTCAACCTGGGGAAAGAAGTATGACATCATAAACTACGTACTAAATGTCCATTCTGCCCTTTATCCCTGATAACAAAACTGTGACTTTGATTGGGGAAGCCACATGCCCAGCCAAAAGCAGGATACCTGCTTCTTCAATCTTCTTTGCAACTAAAGGTAGGTATATAAGAGGGTTCAGGCCAATTGGATGTAAGCCAGTCACTTGAGTATCCTGATTAAAAGTAAAGATGCAACTGGCCTTCCTTCTTCCTGCCTTGAATACACATCTGGAGCTACAGCAGTCATATGGCAATCACAAGGCAATAAACGTGGGAGAAAGCCAATCTGCTGAAGATGGCACAGCAGAAAAGCAGAAAATGTGTGGGTCATACATTGCCTATACCAGTTCTGGATCAACTGCCTCTGAACTTCTTATGTGGGAAAGGAGGTTTGGTTTTCAGTTACTTGCAGCTAAACACTTTACTGATTATGAACTTCAAAATGCTAGAAAAGAATAGTACTGATTAGGTGCCATCAACTTTTCAGAAAAGAAGCTATTTCTTTTTTTTTTTTGAGACAGAGTCTTGCTCTGTCACCAGGCTGCAGTGCAGTGGCATGATCTTGGTTCACGGCAACCTCTGCCTCCTGGGTTCAAGTGATCCCCCTGCCTCAGCCTCCCGAGTAGCTGGGACTACAGGTGCACGCCACCACAACCGGCTAATTTTTTTTTTTTTCGTATTTTAGTGGAGACGGGATTTCACCACGTTGGCCAAAATGGTCTCAATCTCCTGACCTTGTGATCAGCCCGCCTTGGCCTCCCAAAGTGCTGGGATTACAGGCATGAGCCACCACACAAGGCTGAAGCATATTAAAATCATGTATTCTCTACATTTCATTAGTTAGAGAATCTTTTTTAGACTAACATAGTCCTCTTTTAAAAAGTAAATAACCTCTGAAAAGTTTTCTGTAAGTTACATCTTAATAAAAGTAACTTCAACTACTTTCCTTTCAATACCTGAGAACTCAGGCAAAAAGAAAAATGGAAATACTAATTGGACAAAATATAGCTAAGACTTTCGTTACCAGGGTTTAAAACACAATGAGGCTGGGCGTGGTGGCTCACACCTGTAATCCCAGCACTTTGGGAGGCCAAGGCAGGCAGATCACCTGAGGTCAGGAGTTCTAGACCAGCCTGGCCAACATGGTGAAACCCCATCTGTACTAAAAATACAAAAAAAGAAAAAAAAAAATTAGCCAGGCATGGTGGTGCACACCTGTAATCCTAGCTACTTGGGAGGCTGAGGCAGGAGAATCACTTGAATCTGGGAGGCAGAGGTTGCAGTGAGCCAAGATCGCGCCACTGCACTCCAGTGTGGGCAACAGAGACAGACTCCATCGCAGACAAAAAAAAAAACACAAACAATGAGATGCTATTGTTTTCCAATCAGCCTAGCAAAACCAGAGTCAGTTACTGTTTTTCACTAACAAGAGCTCTAAAGAGATCCATTAGCATGTTTTTAATTAAGTTACATTTCATACATATATTACCATATAGAAAGGGAGGTGAAAAGAGGATAATTCAACTTTTTATATAAATACTTGTGTTAGGTATCACTTTTTCTTAATCTTATAATGACAAACCACAGATTCCAAAAAAAGTGACAGAAAACAAATTTATAGCTTAATAAATTATTTAAAAGTGATCACCCTTGAACCTATCTTCCAAGGCAAGAAATAGAACTCAGCTACTCAGACTGGGCACAGTGGTTAACACATATAATCCCAGCACTTTGGGAGGCCAAGGTGAGCAGATCACTTGAGGCAAGGAGTTTGAGAACAGCCTGGCCAACATGACGAAACCCTGTCTCTACTAAAAATACAAAAAATTTGTCAGGTGTGGCGGCACCCTCCTGTAATCCCAGCTACTCAGAAGCTGAGGCACGAGAATCGCTTGAACCTGGGAGGTGAAACCCAAGATGTGGAGGTTGCAGTGAACCAACATCACGCCACTACACTCCAGTCTGGGCAGCAGAGTGAGATTCGGTCTCAAAAAAAATAAAATAAAATAAAATAAAACCATGTAATCCAGGGCCTCCCTCCATTTTGGGAGGCTGAGTAAGGATACATTCCACACCTCAGTTAAGTATCACTTTTCATACTGTTAGTAGGAAAAGCTGATTGGCACTCAATTTTAACTGTCAATTATATATCATTTGTATATAATTTGTTACACTTACCATCGCTTAAAAACTTGGTAAAAATACTCAGCAATCCACACATATTTTGCCATATGGGAGAACTGGAAGCCTTCCAAAGATTTCCCTGGAAATCTTGTACTTTCTGTACTAACGTCATTGAAACTCTAATGCCTACCAATAAGTCATTCATCAACTGTGTTTGAATAATATGATTTCCAGCACATTTTCTATAAAGAAGAAAAGACATTATTACAAAAGGAAATTCAAACAAAAATGTGAACATTTCTAATTCCCAGCAAAATAAATACATTCCTCAAAGGCCCGAAATCCATTTTAAATTATGATAATTTATTCCTCTCTCTTCCATTCCTACAAACATTCCAATTATGTAGATACTAACTGCAAACTTTCAACACCCTTTACTTATCAACATGTCCCTCTTTCTCAGTCAACAACTAACTTTACTTCTTTTAGGGCAAAGATAAGAAATCAAGAATGAATGACAGAACTTGGGCTGGGCGAAGTGGCTCACACCTGTAATCCCAGCACTTTGGGAGGCCGAGGCAGGCAGATCATTTGAGGTCTGGAGTTTGGGACCAGCTTGACCAACATGGCAAAACAGTGTCTCTACTACAAATACAAAAATTAGCCAGGTGTGGTGGCACATGCCTGTAATCCCAGCTACTCAGGGGGCTGAGGCAGGAGAATCACTTGAACCCCAGAGGCAGAGGGTGCAGTGAGCCAAGATGGCACCATTGTACTCCAGCTGGGCGACAAAGCAAGACATCATCTTAAAAAAAAAAAAAAAAAAAAAGAATGACATAACTTACAAACTTGAACACTCTCTCAACGTTGATATATTTTCCCTCCCTGGCTTTTTTTTTCTTTTTTGAGACAGAGTCTCGCTCTGTTGCCCAGGCTGGAGTGCAGTGGTGCAATCTGGGCTCACTGCAAACTCCACTTCCCGGGTTCAAGCAATTCTACTGCCTCATCCTCCCAAGTAGCTGGGATTACAAGCAAGCCATCATGTCCGGCTAATTTTTATATTTTTAGTAGAGACAGGGGTTTTGCCATGTTGGCCAGGCTGGTCTCGAACTCCTGAACTCAAGTGATCCGCCTGCCTCGGCCTTCCAAAGTGCTGAGATTACAGGTGTGAGAAACCATGTCCAGCCCCTCCCTGACTTCTAAAATGTCAGGCTCTCTCGCAGATTTTCCCCTACTTCACCAGCACTCCTTCTCAGATACTTTCACTAATTCATCCTCTTCTCCCTAATCTTTTTACGTTAGGAAAGTCCAGGACTCAGTCTTTATTCCTCTTCTTTTCTCCATCTAATTCTCTCCCTTGCTGATCTCTTTTAGTTCATCAGCTTTAAATTATAATCTACGTGCTGATAATTCCCAAATTTTTATCTCCAACCCAGACCTCTGTCTAATTCCTTTCTGGTATATCTAACTTCCCGATATTTTTACTTGGATGTCTAACAGACATCTCTAAATAAGTGAACTTATCTTCAACTCCAAATCTGCTGTACCTGCTGCATCTTTATCCTATAAAAACACTGTAATCATCCTTGCTGCCCCTCCTCTCCATTTCATCTACAGGAAAATCCTGTTGGTTCTACCTTCAAAATACATCTAGAATCAGACCAACTCCATTGCTATATCTTGGCCTGAGCCACTCTCATCTCTCCCTTGGGTTACTGCCATAGCCTCCTAACTGGTCTCTTGCAGCTTCTGTCCTTCCCTCTCAGTCAGTTCTCAACACAGCAAAACACAGAATAATCCTATTAAGGCAAAAGTTAGGAAAAACAACTTGGTAGTTTCTCAAAAACTTAAACATAGAATTATCTTATGAGTCCACTCTTATGTATATACCCAAAAGAGCTAAAAGCAGAGACTCAAAGATATACTTGTACATCAACGTTTATAGCAAAATTATTCACAATAGCCTAAAGGTAGAAACAGACCAAATGTCCATCGACAGATGGATTAACATGTGGTCTACACATACAATGGGATATTATTCGGCCACAAAAAGGAATGAAATTCTGATATATGCTACAAACGTGGATGACCCTTGAAAACACACCTGTAATCCCAGCACTTTGTGGGGCTGGGGCAGGGGCACTGCTTGAGCTTAGGAGTTTGAAACCAGCCAGGGCAACATGGTGAAACCCTATTTCTACCAAAAATATAAAAACAGGGCATAGTGGTGGACGTCTGTGGTCCCAGCTACTCCAGAGGCTGAGGTAGAAGGACCGCTTGAGCTTGGGGGGCAGAAGTTGCAGTGAGCCACGATCCTGCACTCCAGCTTGGGTGACAGAGCCAGAACTTGTCTCAATTAAAAAAAAAAAAAAGGAAACATAAATGAAATTAGCCTGACACAAAAGGACAAATATTATATGATTCATAAGAATCGCCTAGAATACGCAAATTCAAAAAGACAGAAAGTAGAATAGAGATTACCTGGGGCTACAGGAAATGACTTTTTTTAAAAAAATAAAATTTCCTTTCTTTTGGACACACTGAACTTGAGGTACCTGTAGAACATCCAAGCTGAGATGTCCACAAGTCAACTGTCAACTGATCTCCATCACTCTACCACTCAGGAAAGAGATCTAACTTGGAGTAATAAATTCAGGAATCCTGAGTATATAGGTGGTGGCTGACACCAAAGTGGACGTTATTAAGCAGTTCAAACAAACAAAATAAAAAGGACAGAACCCACCTTTACACGATGAGCATAAAAAGAAGAGCCAAAAAGGAGAAGAAGAGACAAAGAGCTCCTGCTATGGCAAAAGGCTACCGTGAGTGAAAGACGATGATGTACAGGTATTATTTCTCCTCTCTCCCAGAACCTCCTTAAACCAACAGCCATGGGATTTAAAACGTAAAAAGATAAATTCTAAAGGCAACCAATATGCAACAAGACAATAACAATAATATTTCAGAAGCTGCAAAGCAGATGATGAGTGATAACTGACAGCAGAATCAAGAAAAGTGGATGCTCAGCCAGGGAACAAGCCCAGAAGCCATTTGATTTGTAGTACCAAATGGCTCAGAAACTGTTGGCACTAGGTACTCCTTGATGTGGAGGTAAACATAGGATTGAAAACAGGAAGACTAAATACCTCCGAGCCAGCAAACAACTTGTTTATCTTTAGAAAAGGTAAAACAGGTGTCTGGCAAGGAAGATAGCACACACAGATAAGGCAACAACATATTACAAAAAGGAGAATTAGGTAAATACATGTACAATGCAGGCCAAATACTGAGACCTCAGCCTTCTTCCCTCACTCAGCAACCAGACTATTAAGACAATGGTTTAGAAGATTCTTCCATGGCAAATCCAGTATCTAAGCAAAAAGATTTAAACATACTGACATCTTTAGGTTTCCTCAAGGAAGAGTTCCCCCAAGAAACAGCCCAGCTAGACTAGCCTACAATAAAATCTGCAGTCAACTCCACCCATAGGCACAGGCATTCAAATCAATCCTCGGTGTCCCATTATTAAATATGACTACCCAAGCTGGGCACGGTGGCTCGCGCCTATGATCCTAGCACTTTGGGAGCCAAGGAGGGAGGATCACTTGAGCCAATGAGTTTGAGACTAGCCTGGGCATTATAGTGAGACCTCATTCCTACAAAAAATTAAAAATAAAAAAAAAATTAGCCAAGCATTGTGGCAGACACCTGTAGTCTCAGCTACTTGGGAGACTGAGGTGGGAGTATAACTTGAACCCAGGGAGGCAAGAGGTGCAGTGAGCCAAGATCGTGCCACTGCACTCAAGCCTGGGCAACAGAACGAGACCCTGTCACAAAAAAAAAAAACAAAAAAAAACATTAATATATAGATAGATAGACAGATAGATAGAAAGAAATACGTAATTGCCCCGCCAAGGATCACCAGACTTCTAAGGAAAGCTTCTAATAAGAAATATACTGAACAAAACCAGCAAACAGAAACAAGCAACCTGGAAGAAACAGAGACTATGTAAAGATGATAAAAAACAAAAAACTATCATGAATATATCCTCAGAGAAATAACAGAGGATATTTCACTCACGAAATAAAAACAGGATGCTATGAAAAAGGAACACACTCAGGTGATGAAGAGTTCTTTCACTTACTCTCATAACAATTTATTAAATTTTTAATTTTTCATTTAAATATTTTAATATAGTTTAAATATTAAAATTTTGTATTTATTAAAATTAACTATCAAACCTCTAAAAAATAGATTTAAATAATTGGGTCTAATATTAATGGAGAAAGGGGCTGAGCATAGTGGCTAACGCCTGTAATCTCAACACTTTGGGAGGTCAAAGCAGGTAGATTACTTCAGTCCAGTAGTTTAAGACGAGCCTGGGCAACATAGTGAGACTCTGTCTCCAAAAAAATACAAAAATTCGCTGGATGTGGTGGTGCATGCCTGTAGTCTCAGCTACATGGGAGGCTGAGGTGATAGAAACACTTGAGCCCAGGAGGTTGAGGCTGCAGTGAGCTATGATCACACCACTGCACTCTAGCCTGGGTGACACAGCAAGACCCCGCCTCAAAAAAATAGTAATAATATTAATGAAGAGGGATGAAAAGATCACATTCTGAGGCTTTCAAATTTTTCTGTGTACAAAGACAATGTACAACCGCAAGTGTGCACACACAAATGCCAACATATAGCACTTGCCTATTTTCTTCCACGATTTCAATTAAACTCTTCTGCAGAAAATGAAGCACTGAAACAAAAGAATATGACAAACCAGAATTTAAAACTGTGAACTTCAACTTCGATAAAATAAAATATTTTGTATCACTGTTATATAAAATGATACCATGATATAGAAACAAAAATTTAAAAGGAAGGCGCATGATGTACCTGAGTTATCTACAACGCTCTACCTATTGCCAAGAAACTTAAAACAGCCAGTTCCAAAATGACTCATAGATGCCATCAACTCATGGAACAAAATAAAATAATAGGACTTACCATTTTTAAGCAGATTATTAACACCTGCTCTACCTGTAGAGGAAAAATTGAACGCTGGTAAGGAGTTTCATGACCAAAATTAGTATCATTTAAAACCTATGATGTGATGAGAGGCGTTAGCCAGAAAAAGGACTAGAAAAGTGCTGCCTTACCCAAGTTAAAGTTCTCCATACAGGAAGATATATTGTCAATTACTTTCCTATAGGAGTATAAGTCAGTAGTATTCAATTCTTCCTGAAGACGAGAAGTAAAACGGTGTACAGCCTCAGGTAGAAAAAATTCAGGTAGGCTATTTAGTGAGCTAGAAAAAGAAACAAGTATTAAAAATCTGACAATCTAATAGCCCCAGAATATGTGGGGAGGGAAGAGAATCATATAAATGTGGGAATACTGAACTAAACCTTCAAAATACAGCCAGAAAATTACAACTCCACACTACCATCACTGGAATTCCCTGACCTATCAGCTCATCTGGTCTCCCTGCTTCCATCTTGCTTCTCTTCCATCTCCCAGATTATTCTCAACAAAGTAGGCAGAGTGACACTGTTAAACACCATGTCAATTCTCTTACCAAAGCCTCCAACAATATCCTTTTCGGTTAAAGTACTAGACGAAGTGTTTGCAGTGACTTACAAGGTCCTCCCTACACAATCTGGCACTACCGTAAGCTCCTGACCTCATCTTTTTTTTTTCTTTTCTTTTCTTGATTTTTAAACGGCATCCATCACAATCCTGACCTCATCTTGATCCTTGTTCACTTAGCTCTAGCTAGATGGCCTTGCTCAGTTCTGACATACCAGTCTTTGCTCCTGCTGTTTCTTCCATCCAAAAGACTCTTCTTTCAAATATACTCAACAATCATTGCCTCATCCCTTTCAGGTCAATCTCAATTATCTTATCACGTCTGAGCAAAGCTATATGAAGTGACCATAGTATTTTAAATTGTAACCCTCACCCCATCCTTTATGTCCCCTTTCCTCCCTCCCCGCTTTTAGACAGCACTCATGCCATCTAATAGCCTATAAATGTTACTTATTTACTTCGTCTATTTTCTATCTTCCCCTTAGAATGTAATCTCCATTCTGGACTGTTTCATTCATTCTACCCCCAATTCCTAGAGGAGTGCTGAAACACAGTAGGCAGCCAATAAAAATTTATCAAATGAATAAATTAAACATATCAATTTTGTCTCAATTAATATAAATCAAAACTGATAGGCTTTGTTCTAAATATAACTGGACACTTCAAAGTTTTTCTGGAAGAAAAGAATTCAAAAATGGGAATATTCAGAGTAAGAAAAGTCACTAGAGGGATGACTTAACACTGATACATAATTAAAACACATTATCAAACTATAGTAAATAAAAGTGTGGTGTTGGTGTATGAACAAATGGACCCAAATCAGAAATTAAACCCATGTATATACGTGAACATATAATACAATAAGATGGTGTTCCAAATAAGCGGGCAAAAATGGACTATTCAACGGTTTGGATAAGTGGTTCCCCATATAAAAAAGAAAACTAAATTGAATCCCTACCTCATACTACATTCAAACCTTAATTCCAGATGGACGTAAGGGTTGAGCAAAAAAAAACAGTATAAGGCCTGCAAATAATATTGTAAATAATCTTGTATTACAGAAAGCATATATAGTAAGGTATAAAACTCAGAAATCTACACACACAAAACTTAGCTGAGTTGATAACCAAAATAAAATTTTAATTTTTGTAAAGACAAGACACCATGAGAGAGTTTAAAGACAAGTAACAAAGGAATGTATTTGGCATATCATCTATACAGAAGTCTTATAAATCAAGAAAACATTCTAACAAGAAAATGTACAAAGGATATGTAATTAAAAAAAAAATAGTCACTCAAACTCCACACATTGAAAAATGTTCAATCACACTAGTAATCTGGGATACATAAATTATAATGATAGCATCTTCACTCATTAGATTTTAAAAGATTTAAAGATTCATATTATCCAATGTTGGAAATATATGAAGAAGAAATAAGCATTCTAACTCAATTGGTAGTCTGGGGGAGTACAATTTAACAAGAATTTCAATTGGCCTAATTTTTGGTCCAGAAATTCTACTTCTTGGAATTTATCTCAGAGAAATACACATATATAATTATAAACATAAGAATATCACTGCAATGGGGAAGTGATTACTTTAAAACATATAATATAAATCACATAATATGTACCATACATAGATACATATATGTCATATATATGGTACATTTAAATTTTGGTATATTCATATTACAGAATATTTATAGCTGAAAAAGGACTGTTGGCAGGAATGTAAAATGCTGCATATTGAAAACAGTATGACAGTTGCTCAAAAAATTAAAAATAGTATGATCATATGGTCCAGCAATCCCACTTCTGGGTATATATCCGAAGAACTGAAAGCAGGATCTCAAAGAAATATTTGCACACCCATGTTCACAGCAGCATTATTCACAACAGCCAAGCAGTGGAAGCAACCCAAAGGTCCACTGAAAGATGAATGGATGAACAAAACACAGTATATACATACAACAGAACATTAAGCCTTTTAAGAGAAGAAAATCCTGTCATATGCTATAGTAGGGATGAACCTTAAGGACATTACGTTAAGTGAAATAAGTCAGTCACAAAAATACAAATACAAATATTACACTAATATGAGGTATCTAAAGTAATCAAATTCCTGAATGGGAAGTGGCTGCCAAAGCCTGGGCAGGAAATGGGGAGTTGTTACTTAATGAGTACAGAGTTTCAGAGCTTTGCAGATGACAAGGTTCTAGAGATCATTGCACTGCAATGTGAATATACTTAACAATAGTGAACTATATACAATTAAAAATCATTAAGACTCAAACATCGTATGTTCTCATTCATAAGTGGGAGCTAATCTATGAGGATGCAAAGCCATAAGAATGATACAACGGACTCTGGGGATTCAGGGGAAAGGGTGGGAAGGGGGTGAGAAATAAAAAGACTACAAATTGCTGGGTACAGTATACACCGCTCAGGTGATGTGTGCACCAAAATCTCAGAAATCACCACTTATTCACGTAACCAAATACCACCTGTTCCCCAAAAACCTATGGAAATAAAAATTAAAATTTTAAAAAAAGAATTCATTAAAAAAAAAAAGGTTAAGACTGAGGTTTTATGTTACGTGTCTTTTACTACAATTTTTTTTTTAAAGGATTATATGACATGGAAATATCTCTAAGACATTCTTTAGTGAAAAAACAAGCTACAGAACATTATGTAGAATACAATCTCGTTTACAGATACATAAAAAAAAGTAGAATGTAACACACATATGCAGACCTCAGAGAAAAGGTCTAGAAAGATAAATACCAAAATGGTAAGTGACAATCTTTACTAAGAAAAGATAAGTCCTAAACAATGAAATGGAAGCCTTACCTTTTGTTTTGTATACTTCTATATAGTTTAAAATTTTTACACCAAGCCTATATTCCTGTGTTATCTGTGTAAATATATATTTAAACCAAGAACAGATAGGACAAAAAGAGGAAAAAACAGCAAGATGACATTTAAACATAATCAATAAATGTAAATGGATTGAGGGAGGAGTTAGAAAACTAGAGCCCACAGCCTGTTTATTAAGTCTGTGACCTAAGAAGGCTTTTTATATTTTTAAAAAGTTGTAATTAATCAGTGAAAACAGAGAAGAAACCGTATGAATGAACTTTTTGTGATCTATATCAGTTCAGTTTTATCAAACCAAGGAAGGAACTTTAGTTACTTTCAGTCAAATTCAACACTTTTTAACACCCGATTTCCCTTCCTTTTTTTCTTACCTTGCCAATACTTTCTTCAAGGGATTCTTTAGACTCAAAGAAAGATAAATGCCTGCTAAAATATCCAAACAACTTTGAATAGTGGGATCACACACGCCATTTTTATCTACTTTCTCCAGCAGAGGCACAATCTATAATACAAAACATTGAAGTAATTTTTCTCATATCAAGTATAGCAAAGTAACATGGTTCCAGATACTCTTTAAAGTCTCAATTGCTGGGCACAGTGGCTCACCCCTGTAATCCCAACACTTTCAGAGGCTGAGATGGGCAGATCACTTGAGCCCAGGAGAGCTCGAGACCAGCTTGGGCAACACTGAGAAATCCTGTCTCTAAAAAAAAAAATACAAAAATTGGCCAGGCATGGTGGTGCATGCCTGTAGTCCCAGCTACTCAGCCACTCAGGGGCCTGAGGCAGGAGGATCGCTTGAGCCCAGGAGGTTGAGGCTGTGGTTGAGCCAAGATTGCACCAGTGCACTCCAGCCTGGGTAAGAGAGCGAGACCCTGTCTCAAAAAAAATAAATAAAATAAAGTGTCAATTATAATGTGAAATGTTTTCCATACTCCACTGTCAAGGATACGGATTTAAACACCTATTTCACTATTTATTAACTTTTTAAACCCATGTCCCCAACTCTCTCTTTACCCTCCAGACCCACCTCCACAGAGAATCACAGACCTGTTAATGGCTTACAGTAAAGGACAGCTGTAGCACAATTTAAAAACCAGTAACAAATTTACTTGCTTTCCAAAACAAAAAACTATGTGTGCTCAAATGGTAAATCCTAATACTGAAATACTAATAAGTATAATATTTATATTTTAAATTAACTTTTAAATGTGCCTGCTAAAAAGTTTTGAAGATTCATATATTTTAAAATTTATCTCCACAAAAGAGGTATGTACAATTATCTTCTACCTTATCTATTTACAGCTCAATTATGATAGACGCCTGAATATGGCTTCTATTGCTGCTTTGAATATAAGGATATTATACAATAAACAGAAAACAAAAAAAAATACCTATTTGTTAATGATAAACTGATATGCAATAACTAGGGGCCAAAAACTGTCAGTGATTTTTTAAAATCCTTAATAGCATGATACTCTTAAAAATGCATTCATGAATATCAATTCAGACTTACCTGTTTAACATAATGGATTTGTGACACTCCATCCGTGAGTTGTACACAACGTAACAGCAAAGAAGCTAGATTTTTCCCTTCCGCATCAGCAAAAGCTACATAACATATACAAAAAAATTTTTTTCAATGATTTAACAGTAAGTTAAATATAACTTCGCCTTTGTTGTGCATTCTACAAAATCTTTTAATTATAAACCAAAGCAATAGGTGGAACGTAGTCTGAAGACAGAATTTTAAGAAAATTTTTACATCCAAAACATAAGGAAAAATATAAAGAATTTGAATATTATATGCTAGGGGTCCCAGTGATTAAAATACTCTGCTTGCAAACTAGAAAAAAATATATTAAATAAGGGAAACCAGAAGTCACCTACATTTCAAAGTTTCAAGGTCCTGATGGCAAATGGTCAACACAGCAACTTGCATTTCTTTCTTCTTCTTTACACCCATTTTAAATAGAATTAACAGTAGTCACTGCAAGAAAGAAGACTTCAAGGCATTAATGTAATGTTTCTCAACCTCAGCACTACGAATTTTTGGCTGGGTTCATTCTTTGTGAACAGTATCATCCTATGCATTATGCTTCATGCATCCCCATCTCTACCCGTTAGACGCCAGCGGCACCCTCCTCCCTCCCAAGTTGTGATAACCAAAATATGTCTCCAAACATTGCCAAGTGTCCCCTGGGGGGCAAAACTGCCCCAGAATAAGAATCACTGTCTAAGAATTTCTGATGTGAAGAAGCAAAATGTTTTAAGCTCAAGTTTATTACTGACTGAAGTTATTTTACCTACTATGACTCAGTCTTTGTATTTTAAAATATAGCAAACTTTCCTTTTAGTGAACACACACACCAAAAAAACCTAGCATAGTTTTTCCAAAAATAAAGTACTTCAAACTAACCTCAGTGACTTGTTAGACTAACAGGAGGTACCACCATGTACTGATTTCTGCAAAAATGAAAAAAAAAAATTTTTTTTAATACTATTCTCTTGAGTTTGCTTTTATTGATACTTAACAAATCAACGGGTTCATAACAGGCTAAACAACTCAACTCAAAGACTACACGACTACACACTAATAGTACCATGCCATCTGGAAAGAAGTTGGTAGCGAAATGTCATAGGGCTCTTTTCTTGATGCAGTTAGCATTTTTAGCAGTATTTATGATGAAAATATTAGAGGATATAATGTAGTACATGTATAAAATAAACTAATCTGGAAGGACATGTTGAATAATGCAATCAGGAATAAAAACAGGTCAATAAACTGGAATAATGAGCAATACGAAATTTACCAAGATGAAATATAAATAAATGTAAAGGGCTGCATTTAGTTTAGGGGAAAAAACTCAGAAATAGAGGCTGGGAAAGCAAAACGTAGTTTGAAACAGCTCAACAGCACAAGATGACAGCCAAAAACCACAGAAGTCAGCCATATCAGAGCGCATGATTTTATCCAAACAGGTCAGGTGACATGTATAGAGCATTAGGTGCAGCGCTGGCGGCCATACTTTAAGGAGCCATAACAAACAATGTAGCTGATTTCTGAAGGACCTAGAGAGCACCTCCTTCAGAGAACAGCTCAGTTAACCAAAGGTGTTTGGCCTTGAGAAAAGTCAACAGGACAAGAGCCTTAAAACAGCTACTAGACTGTTTTGGAGAAAAAGGGAGTAGATTTATTTGTCTACTATAGACTTATTGTCTTGCTATTAGTAAAAGTTAGTACAAGCTACAGGGAGACAGATTCCAGATCAATACAAAGGAAAAGCTCTATGTTCCCACTAAGGACTGGGCTACCTTTTAAACAAAGAATTTCCCAACACCAGGAATATTCGAAGAGTTTGTCTTGGACTCCTGAAATAGCCCCCTAACTGGTCTCCTAACTTCTACACTTACCTCCAAAGAGCCCATTCTGTTTACAGTCATCAGAGCAATCTCTTTAAAAAAAAAAAAAAAAAGCTCTCATCAAATTGAATTACTTACTCTCTTCCTTAAAACTTTCCAAGGGTTTCTAAATACACTTAGAATAAAATTCAAACTTGAGGCTGGGCGTGGGGGCTCGTGCCTGTAATCCCAGCACTTTGGGAGGCCGAGGCGGGTGGATCTCCTGAAGTCAGGAGTACAAGACCAGCCTGGCCAAGATGGTGAAACCCCGTCTGCACCAAAAAAAAATACAAAAATTAGCCGGGCGTGGTGGCGGGCGCCTATAACCCCAGCTACTCCGGGGGCTGAGGCAGGAGAATCGCTTGAACCCCAGAGGGAAAAGTTGCAGTGAGCCGAGATAGTGCCACCGCACTCCAGCCTGGCGACAAGAGCGAAACTCTGTCTCAAAAAATAAATAAATAAATAAATAACAAAAACTTGAGATTTTGCCCTTCAAGGCCCTAAATAATCTGGCCCTGCCTTCCTCCACTCTTCATCTCAAACCAATCTCCTCTTCACCATCTCAAGAGCTTTGCACTTTCCGATGCTCTTATTCCCACCTAAGAGGCTTTACACTTCCCAGTATCTCTGCCCCTTAATGTTCTTGCAAGACTGACTCCTCACCATTCATGTTTCTGCTGCAATATTACCTTCTAAAAGCCTTCCATGACCACTCTATCTAAAATCTCACCAATCCAACACACGTAGACACCATTTCCGTCAATTTTCTTCATAGCACTTACTAGTACAGAAATTACCCTAACTTGTACATTTGTATATTGTCTGTCTCCCCTAGCAGCAAATTGAATGAAGGCAGCAACTTTAATCTGTTTTGTTCATGTTTCAGGCCTCAATTCCTAAACCAGTGCCTGGCACATAGTAGGTGTTTAACAAACACTTGACGAAAAAACAAATTAACAAACATTTGTCAGAGATGTTCTAGAAGAGATACATGTCTTTAAGGGCAGGAGGGTGGACCACCTGGTATCTAAAATCCATTCTACATCTAAGTGACATTCTACATCTTAAGAACCTATGATCTGTTTGGGAAGTAAGAAATCAATACAGTAATGGCAGGTGAGCAACCACTTAACCAAAAATGGACGCAGCTAGGAAAGTGTCGACAACAGAGTAATTTGTAAAGGGACAGTCAGATCCAGCGGAATTGAGGCACGCTTCCTAAGAAAGCAACCACTGTACAACGACAGAAGAGATTGGGGAACGTAACTAGGGAGACTATTCTCTGATGAAAGGTAAGCAAGTTTGCAGGAGGATTTGCTCTTGCAATTCTGAGGGCTATACAAAAGCAGACTCGGTAATTATGCCTGCTGAAATGTGTGTCCTGAAGAACCGGGGTCCCCAAGGGGGTAAATCCCGGTGTCTACCGCAAGGCCAGAAGGTGCCCAGTAAATTACACTCCTCCTAAGTCCCACTTACTGCTTCCCTTTAGAACGCTGCTTCACTCTACACCTTCCTGGCTGACTCCCACAAACATTCTCTGGGCGATTTCTGAACCACGTGGAGTTCAGGAATGACAGTGGGAGAAAGGGGTTAAAGTGCTGTCTCCATGGAGACCTTAGCGACCGGAAATCAGTTTCACAGCCGCCGAATCCTGGCGATACCAAAAATTGGCAATTGGTGTGGCTCGCCAGACGGCCCTAGCAAAACTGGCCGAGCCGAGCGCAAAGTCACGCGCTACCGCGGGTCTGGCAGGCAAGACACCTGGGAGCCAAACCTCGTGCCCGTCGGCGTCTGAGAAGAGTCGGAGGCGCCTGGACAAGTCCCGGAAGCAGGTCTCCTTCTACCGCGTCTCCGAGACTCGCAACGCGGTCCGCGGTCGACTACCGGGTCAGGGCTAAGAGAGGGAAGGAGGGGTAACCTGGGGGAGTCATCGCGAGAATTGACCAAACTCAGCTCCTCCAGTCGGAGTTCAATGAGGTCGTGACGTCACCGGGGTGGGCGGTAGCTATCGGGTTTGGTTAATCTGCCGCTTTACCGTCAGCGCCGCGCGTTCCTCGTGGTATTGGGGCTGACCGGCCCTCTTGCGCACACGTCATTCTCTTCATATTCTTGGACGCCTGGGAAGCGCTTTTGTCCCAGTCCAGACCTTCCACCTTTCTCCCGCTCTGTTGGCCCAGTGCAGAGTCTAGGAGAAAACTACGTGGAGTTTAGAGCCTGCGAGATGGAGCAGGGAGTTGGGCGGCGACTGAACGGAAGCCATAAGAAGAATTCGGACTAAAATGAGAAGTGCTGTACCAACGTGTGCCAAAGCGCATTTATTCATTCAATGAATAATGAGCTCTACTGTCAGAGCGTCTCCAGGCGCTAGCCTTAGAAGTTATCCCCTACTGAGGATACATATGTTACGCAGCACATACAAATTGTCAGATGGTTCGGTCCTTGAAAAATACAATAACTTGATGTCACTGGGAGCTGCGAAAGGGGCCAAGATCAGGAACTATTTCTATTAGGAACTAATAGAAATAGAACTAATAGTTTCTATTAGGAACTAATAGAACTAACAGATACTATTATCAGGAGGATTAATTTGGAAAATAGAAACATGTCAGTTCCCTAAACGTTAATGACAAGTTTTTAATAATTATTTTCCGAATTTTTTATTATCACCTTGCCTTGGTTTTCTTTGTAGCTTTACCACATATGTATGTATCACTATCTTGTTTTGTTCAATTTTGAACTTTTTGGAATTGTGTATGTATTCTGCAGCAATTTGCTTCTTTCAGCATTGCTTTTCGTATTCACCTACATAAAAGCAGGCGGCTGTGGTGCTCTTCGTCCAGGCTGGAGTGCAGTGGTGCTATCTCGGCTCACTGCAACCTCCGCCTCCCAGGTTCAAGCGATTGTCCTGCCTCAGCCTCCTGAGTAGCTGGGATTACAGGCGCACGCCACCACGCTTGGCTAATTTTTGTATTTTTTTAGTAGAGACAGGGTTTCACCACGTTGCTCATGCTGGTCTTGAACTCCTGACCTCGTGATCCGCCCGCCTCAGCCTCCCAAAGTGCTGGGGTTACAGACGTGAGCCACAGCACCCGGCCCGTAATTTTGCATTGTTTAATATACTTTATTATGTATCCATCCTGCTGCCTCTTAACGTGGATTATTTCCAGTTTTTGCTCTAACATTGCTGCTGTGAACTATGTTGTGCATGTCAACTGGTGAGTGTGAGCAGACGATAAATATGTTGTACATATCAGCTGGTGAGTGTGAGCAGACGGTAAATATTTTGTACGTATCAGCTGGTGAGTGTGAGCAGACAGTAAATATGTTGTACGTATCAGCTGGTGAGTGTGTGCAGACGGTTCTCTACCATAATTTTTTGTCATATTTTTGACCCAGACTGATAGTAAGAAATACATTGTAGACTTTGAAACTGTGGACATATAAGTATTCACACATAACTGAAGTAAACATTTCTTGAAATGTTACTTTACAGGAGCTGTGAGATTTTATTTCCTTTTTTTTGTAAATTATGGTAAAATACACAACAAAATTTATCATTTTAACTATTTTTAAGTTTTATGCTTTTTAAAATATGTATATTGTTTCAGACCTACTAATTCTATAACTCAGTGGGTCCGAACCCTTTTTTGTTCTGACCAAACCATTTTAAAGGGGCAGACACTGCAACTCTTCACCCTACACAGTGAGAGGTGGGCTAGGAGGCAAACATAATAAACATATGTTGAAAGGTGAAACTACCGTTAAAACTTAAGACAAATTAAACTTAACAGGGTTTAACTGAGCAAGGGGAAAAATGATTCTCAAATCAGGCAGCCTCCAGAATCATAGCAGATTCAGAGAGACTCAGAGAGACTCCAGGGATGCCTCGTGGTCAGAGCACGTTTATAGACAAAGAAAGGAAAGTAATGTACAAAAAACAAGTGAGGTACGGAAGCAGCTGGTTGTGTTACATACAGCTTGGCGTTTGCCTTACCTGAGCACAGTTTGAACAGTCAGCATTGTGTGAATAGTTGAAGTATGGCTGCTGGGATTGGCCGAGACTCAGCTATTGTTACAGAAGGACACTCCTAAATTAGGCTTTCAGCCTTGTCTACTTACTAAGTTAAGTTATGGTTCATCCATAATGACTCAAATATGGAAGTACAGAGGCTTTCTCAGGCCATATTTACTTCAATTTAACACCGCCATGGAAAAAATAGGGGAATGGAAAGTGAGATATAGGGGAGATACGTTGCAACATTAAATGGGGTAGTCAGAGTAGGCCTAATTGAGTCAAGATTTGCAAGAGACATAGACAGTTGGGGAAGGGGAAACCTTCCATACAGAGGGAACAGCCAGTACAAAGTTTCCAGGGCAGGACTTGCCTGTTCAGAGAATAGCAAGGAGGTAAGAGTGGCCGGAGCCAAGCAAGGTTAGTAAGGAGTGGGACAAGGGGCTTGGGATTATGTAAGGCTTTCACATTATTTTATGGATTCTTTCACTCATCGGTGAAATGAGGAGTGATTTTGAGCAAAAGAATAATAAGATTTAATGTACATTTCAAAATAATCACTGGAGCTACTTTGTTAAGAAGAGACTGTAGGTCGGACGTGGTGGCTTACGCCTGTAATCCCAACACTTTGGGAGGCTGAGGAGGGCGGATCACCTGAGCTCAGAAGTTCAAGACCACCCCGGGCAACATGGTGAAACCTTGTCTCTACAAAAATACAAAAAAATTAGCTGGGCATGGTGGTGTGTGCCTGTAGTCCCAGCTATTCGGGAGGCTGAGGCACAAGAATTGCTTGAGCCCCGGAGGCAGAGGTTGCAGTGAGCTGAGATTGTGCCACTGCACTCCAGCTTGAGCTGCAGAGTGAGACTCCGTCTCAAAACAGAAAAAAATAAGAGACTGTGGAGCCTGCAGGAAGCCCAGTGAGGCTGTTGTGGTAAACTAGGCAGGCAGGATGCTGGTGGCACTGGCCAGGGTGGTAGCAGTGGAGAATGGGAGGCGGACAGATTTTTGATATAATCTGAAAGTAGAGCTAACAGGACTTTTTCTGAAGGATAGAATATGGGTATGAAGAAATGAAGAGTCAAAGATGAGTCCAAAGTTTCTGGCCTGAGCACCTGGAAGGATGAAGTTGCCAAAGTTTACTTGAAGCAGATTTGAATGGGTTTAAAAGAGACTGGGAAGAGAGGAATCGGCAAGATCAAGCAAAGGCAACTCCTTCTAGTCCTTCTAATACACAAGGGGCAGATAAATGGAAGATAACACCTGGAGGAAGTATACTGCCAAAAGCAATCTACACATCCAATGCAATCTCCATTGAAATACCACCATTATTCCTCACAGAATTAGAAAAAACAATTCCAAAATTCATATGGAACCAAAAAAGAGCCCGCATAGCCAAAGCAAGACTAAGCAAAAGTAACAAATCTGGAGGCATCATACTACCTGATTTCAAACTGTACTACAAGGCCATAGTCACCAAAACAGCATAGTACATAAGCACATAGACCAGTGGAACAGAATAGAGAACCCAGAAATAAACCCAAATACGTGTGACCAACTGAACTTCGACAAAGCAAACAAAAACATAAAGTTGGGAAAGGACACCCTTTTCAACAAAAGATGCTGGAATAATTGGCTAGTCACATGTAGGAGAATGAAACTGAATCGTCATCTCTCACCTTATACAAAAATCAACTCAAGATGGATTAAGAATTTAAATCTAAGACCTGACACTCTAAAAACTCTAGAAGATAACTTTGGAAAAACCCTTCCTGACATTGGCTTAGGCAAGGATTTCATGACCAAGAACCCCAAAACAAATACACTAAAAGCAAAGATAAATAGTTGGGATTTAATTAAACTAAAGAGCTTTTGCACGGCAAAGAATAGTCAGCAGAGTAAACAAACAACCCACAGAGTGGGAGAATGTCTTCACAATCTATACATCTGACAAAGGACTAATATCCGGAATCTACAACAAACTGAAACAAATCAGTAAGAAAAAAACAAACACTTCCATCAAAAATTGGGCTAAAGATATGAATAGATAATTCTCAAAAGAAGGGCCAGGCACAGTGGCTCCCACCTGTAATCCCAGCACTTTGGGAGGCTGACACAGGCAGTTCACCTGAAGTCAAGAGTTCGAGATCAGCCTGACCAACATGGAGAAACCCTGTCTCTACTAAAAAATACAAAATTAGCCAGGCATGGTGGCACATGTCTGTAATCCCAGTTACTCGGGAGGCTGAGACAGGAGAATCACTTGAACCCAGGAGGTGGAGGATGCAGTGAGCCGAGATCTCACCATTATACTCCAGCCTGGGCAACAAGAGCGAAACTCTGTCAAAAGAAATTAAAAAGTAAAAAAACAAATAAGAAGAAGATACACAAATGGCCAACAAACATGAAAAAATGCTCAACATCACTAATGATCAGGAAAATGCAAATCAAAACCACGATGCAATACCACCTTACTCCTACAAGAACAGCCATAATCAAAAAAATCAAAAAACAGTAGATGTTGGCATGAATGTGGTGATCAGGGAACACTTCTACACTGCTGGTGGGAATGTGAACTAGTACAGCCACTATGGAAAACAGCGTAGAGATTCCTTAAAAAACTGAAAGTAGAACTACCATTTGATCCAGCAATCCCACTACTGGGTATCTACCCAGAGGAAAGGTTATTATACGAAAACGACACTTGCACACGCATGTTTATAGCAGCACAATTCACAGTTGCAAAATCTTGGAACCAATCCAAATGCCCATCAATCAACGAGTGGGTAAATAAACTGTGGTATACATACAATGGAATACTGCTTGGCCATAAAAAGGAATGAAATAACAGCATTTGCAATGACCTGGATGAGTTTGGAGACTATTATTCTAAGTA